AAAAAACGTCATAGTATAGCACGTCGTCCAAAATGAAAAAAAAAAGTCATAGTATAGCATGTCGTCCAAAATGACAAAAAATCCTCATAGTATAGCATGTCGTCCAAAATGACAAAAAAAGTCATAGTATAGCATGTCGTCCAAAATAACAAAAAAGCCTCATAGTATAGTATGTCATCCAAAATCATGAAAAAAAGTCATAGTATAACAGGTCGTCAAAAATCCTGACAAAACTTCAAAGTGTAGGATGTCGTCAAAAAACGTGAAAAAACAACATAAAATAGCATGTCGTCCAAAATGAAAAAAAGTCAGTATAGCATGTTGTCCAAAATCACAAAAAAAACATCATAGTACAGTAAGTTGCCCAAAATCATGAAAAAAACCTCATAGTATAGCATGTCGTCAAAAATCTCGACAAAACTTCAAAGGGCAGGATGTCGTCAAAAGCGTGAAAAAATGACATAATATAGCATGTCGTCCAAAATCAAGAAAAAACATCATAGTATATAGCATGTCGTCTAAAATGACAAAAAAAAAAGTCATAGTATAGCATGTCATCCACATTCACAAAAAACATTATAGTATGTTGCCATGCAACAGCGTACCCAAGAAAGGGACTTAGCTGCTGTAGCAACTTGAATTCAACCGGCGCGTACACTAGCACTGGGGTCCAGAGGAAGCTGGTGGCCAGCAGCAACTGTGTGTCTAACATATGTAACAGCAGCAACAGAAAGTTTGCTGGCAGGGAGCCAGTGCAATCCTGGATCAGAGTCAGACCCCTGGAATTGGCTGAATTAAAGTTGTTACTGGGGCTATGGTCTGTCTCCAGAGCTGTTGTCCACTTGTTGTGGGTGCCAGTCGTGGGAGCCATTTCGGAGCTAACGTTCGATGGTGTTGCACAGTGCTAGTGCTGTAGCTGAGCTGAAGAGAGGCCAGGCACTCGACAGTGTGCATAACCTCACATCCTTTGGATTTTCCCCCAAAATTTGTCCACAGTCCTTTGGAAAGGTCTCAGTTTTTTAGTCACAATCCATTCACCCATTGTCAACTAAAGACCTATAACTTTTCTATGACCTGTTGCAGGCAGCAAACTGAGAACTTGTTTGACATTGGCATCTTTTTAAGTGGCAGAAATGAACTTCTCTCTCCGTAACATGTTGATCTGCTTACTGATGACACTTTGACATTGTTTCCATTCAGCTCGTGGCTCAATGTTGCCCTGACAAGATGTTCATTTCCATGGATCAGTGGAGTTGCTATGGTTATTGCTGATGAGTCACAGTGAGATTCTCCATACAGCACAATGAGACGATACTGAAAATAGAAGAGTAGGAATGATTGTGTAGGTGTTGAGAGAAACAAGGCACATTTGTCTGCGCATGGATCATCTGATTCCTAAATGTTTGGAGTTGTAGCCAACACAATGGCGCTAAAAATAGACTTTTAAAATCCAACATATAGAAAAGACTCATACAAGCTGATTCGTAAACGAACTGTGATTTATTACCGAAGAGTAAACATGGATAATAAAACCGATAGGATATCCGTTACAGTCAACATTTACTACACTCTATGCCACCCATTGTCCGTGTCCATGGAGTTCTTCCTCCTTTCAAACTCAAGGATGTTCCAGTTTTCCCGACAGCATCAAGTGTTGACTGGGCTTTGTGGAAGCACTTCAGCGTCACAGAGTTGAGCTGCTGCTGCTGTTGTTGTTAGCTGGGGCCTTGCTCTTCTTCCTGCCTCATCCTCTTCCTCAGCTGCTCACCGATATCAACCAGAGGGTTCATTTTGGCAGAGAGGGTCTTTACTGCGTCGCTAAACCTGCTGGTCTCTGATTCCCTTCAATAAAGGCGAAACACACAACAATCAGAGTTGTAAAGATAGCTTAATATATGTAAAATAAATAATAGTAATATTGTGATAGTAATATGAAAAGCTGCGTACAGGAGTTTGCGTTTCTGTGACTGTTTCATCTGACTGAAATCTGTTGGCTCAGGTCTCTTCACAGGCCTGCAGGGAGGAGACAGGACATGTTTACATGCAACATAGTAATAGGACATTCAATGGGAATTCAACCTCCAGGTATTGATGAGTTAACTATGGTTAGCTAGCTGCTAACTGGTACCATGATGGACAACTTCACAGTATGATGTTTTGGTGTGGGCGGGGCTTAGCTGGAGGCAAAACAATTTTCCACAGACATGAGCTGCGCTTGCTAGCAAGTTCTGTTAGCTTGTTTTTGACAATGGAGGAAGATGATATGAATGGTGAGTTCAGAAATACTTACTCAAACTGGACAATTCGTAAATTCGGAGGGCTGTCTGAATGTACCTTTCCGTTATCTAGAGCACTGCACTCTTGGAGTGGCAGAGCGCACTTTTGGCACTCTGTCTGGGGAGACGGAGCACTAGAGTGCCGAGCGGAGTGAATGTGTGATTAACCTAACTGTTTGTTAATTCATATAGAAATATAACGCTCTGTTTCTTCGACTAACAGGGTCTCATTTTAGTGCAGAGTCAGACTGAATTTACGAACGCACCATGTCAGGTTTCCGGGACCGCCAATGGGACCAGGCTGGCCGACCCGTATGCTTTCACTCAGTGGGTGGATGATGTCACAGGAAGCCAATCTTACAAAGGAGGACGACACTTGAACAGTTTCCTCCATTTCTTGTACAATCGAAGCTAATGTTAGCTAATGCACTAAAAAGTTAGGGGGAAATCCAATATTCCTCTTAATACCTCCCCAGTTTCTGAAGGTGGACATGGTAATCCTGAATGCACCATTATTCATCCCTACAACAGGAAAGATTATTGCCTCTGACCAGTCTTTTGTCTTTTGTATTTAACCATATCGTTTACCACATTTGTTTTTGTGGATCATATTGTAGGATATCTCCTTATCCGAACAAGATTGGGCCTGGGAATATCCCAAATCTGGATACCCATCTATGAAATATACATATAAACATCCTAAAATTGTATCCCCCTAAAGATCCTTTTAACATTAATTGCATCTTTGACGTATCCTGTATCCTGTTTTGAGAAATCATTAATCCACAAGATATTTTTCAGATCTTTTAACATATTAACTGTATCTTTGCACTTTTTTAATCCCAACTCTATTTGGTGATGTCACCTGACAGTGTTCTTCTAACAGTGTGATGACAGTCAGCAGAGGAAGGCTCATACTGACGCCATCACTGCTGCTGTTCAACTCAGACACACCGCATGTGCTGCTCTTGGTTCTAATTTACACCTTTCAAGGACAAAAGAAATGTGATAATTATGGAGAGCCACACTTGAAAATCGACAACAACTGTCATGTCGACACTTGATGCCCGCTCCAGAGGTCACCTTGATACTTACACTTTGTTTTTCCTGCTCTTGCGTCGAGCGGTGGGGGCTGTGACGGCGGGGGTAATGAGCTGAGAGAGCTCCGGCAGGGCGTCGGCCAGCACCCTCATGTCCCCCACCACGGGCGTGGCCTGCCTCCGGGCCTCGGCCGCCTGCTGCTCCTTGGCCTGTTTAATGGAGCTGATCTCTGAGAGGAGGCAGAGGAATGCACACGACAAAGAGAGCAGGTGAGTTACATTCAAGCTGAACAATACAGTGACTCAAAAAATGCATGCGGCACACTACGGATTCACTGGGCGTGGTTCACTGGACCGCGCTGTGGCTGCACCACTGCCTTCCAGGATTCGGAACCCTGATCCACACATCACTAGCGTTTAGTTCTAAGCCCTTAAAAACTGCCATTAGTCTGTGAAAATCCACACCGGTCAAAGTCTACTGTCCCGACTCATGACGGCAAAAAGGCCATTTCTTCCTAATTTTCTTCTGATTCCTGAAAACTGTCCGCCATGCAGCCACTCTTGGGTTTCAGCAGAGTTGAGCCACGCAGCCATTAGCACCTAATTATAAGTCTGAACAGGATACGTGTTGTGTTACCCGGGAATTGATTGGCTCAGCAGCAGGGTACGGTTACAGGACCGGATCGCAATTATGGGAGATGATGACGGCGTCATGATGTTTGGGAGAGGAGTTATAATTGCAGAGACGTGCAAAGATGGACTTTGAGCGAAAAAGCTCAAAACTCAGTGACCACTGCCATTGGGGAGTGCTGTTGCCATGAGCGGGGGTACTTGGTCTGCAACGGTGTTTGAGTGGGTGGAACATGTCAGGTGTTATCCACATGAATGCCAGAACCAAAGAATTCCCAGCAGAGCAATGCATTGGAACAAAATAATCAAAGTTACTCAATTCACCTGTCACTGGTTTTGATGTTTTGGCTGATCGGTGGATATCAATACACTGCCCAGCGCTAGTTGGATTTGTACCACTACTACTATTGGAGTGTTGATATAACTCACTGTTAAGCCATCTCTCCCTCCTCTCCTTCATCTTCTCTTTCTTTGACTTCAATTTCTTCTCTTCTGGGGCTGTGAAAACACACACACACACACACACAGAAAGTTACATGACAGCACACATCAAACCCAGCTGGGTTCTCAGCAAAGGGAGAGGTCCACTAATTAAACATGAAGGGAGGCAAATTCATAAATGTGTTAAAGATAAAGGTGGCGACGGATTGGGTTGGCCGCAAGCTACAGCGAACCGCCACCCTCTTCGCCCCCTCCTTGAGAGTGAGTCGAATGAAGTGAGGATCAGATGGATCAGCAGCACACTCTGAGCCTTTTACTGGAGTTCACGTTTCCTTATTGTAGGTCATTACAAATGAGACCTGAGGGGGACCTTATGCTTCACTTTAAAGCCTACGTGGACGAGAAGTCCTCGAAGTACTACAGATACAAACCCAGTAGCTAGTGAGCTTGTATATCAACTAGAGTTGCAACAGTACCGAACGATATCACACCCATTACCTTATATCTCTCCAGACTGTATAAGGGATTTTACAACATTGTCTCGAGAGCACTTCGGAAAACCACTGTCGGTAAACACAGTTTGTTGCTGGGTCTACAAATTTTTGGAAATCATGGTCGTCGTGTCCTCCGAGCTAAAGAGGAAACGGACCATCCAGACTGTTACCAGCTCTAAGTTCAAAGCCAGCATCTGTGATGGTATGGAGGTGTGTTAGTGCATTGACATCGACAGGATGGATACGTCACTTGCTACGCCAATCAACATTCTCAGATCGACCATGGTTTGTCTAACAGAGTCATCACGTTTTCAGAACTTTGAGAGATAAAGTTGGTGGGGTAAATGTTAACCATAAGAAGGACTCAAGTTTGTTCCTTTATTGAACTTCAACCTTCATGGTATCAACAATATTTTAATGTTTGGTTATAATCCTAATCCTGAGACCTGTATTTAGTGTGAGACGTGTGTTCAGACAGGCACCTTATCTCCACAGATCCTGGAAGGCCTTTATCTGCCACCGCAGTGCTAAACAACAGAAGTGGTTCTGCTGCTGTTTGCAGTAAAAGAACAGGCAAAGATAGGCATCTGCTGCTGACTACAAATGTGGGTAGGGATGGAGAAATTCAATCTCCCGTGTGTGGGTGGGGGTGTCATTTGTGTTTGTCGAGGGGGGGAATGTGGGGAGGATGCTTTACCACCACTCAGCTCCCATTGGGGGCATCATCTTTCTGCTGTGAGATGAAATGGATAGCTGTGATTACGGCTGGCAGGAGGCTACCCCCCTCACCCACCCAGACTGTACGCCCTGCTTCGACTCCTCACCTTTCTGCACCTTCTTGGATGGACTAGGACATGGAGGTGGACACAGACGGTGTTTTAGAGCATTGAGACTTTAGAGATGACAGATGGCAGAGGAGTGAGTAGTGTGATGTGGGAAAAGTTGATCTGCAGGAGACAAAAATATTTGAGGGCAATACAGAATGTCTGAGGGCCCACGGTGAGGACTTATGTTTATGACCATGAAACATGACTGCAGAGTTGTTTCTCAATGAGGCGTGAATGTCATGACTTTTGTGTTTAAAGGAGGCGTGAAGCCGAACTACTGCCAGCCAATACCAAGCCCTCTGTCTTGACACCCAAGACCCAAGACCCCTGACCCACGATACAGATCAATGTATGGCCATGGTATCGGTTTAACCTTTCGAATCAGGTATTGATCAAACTAACGTGCTGTCACATCTCTAAGGATAACAGTAGAAATAGATCTGTGTCACATATGATTTTCCTTTAGAGGGGTTCCCTGTGGCACCAGACTCAAATGTCATATAGTACGAGACAGATTCTGTGCATTTAATATGTAAACAGCACTCTGCGTTCTTCACGTTGGTTTGACGGGGTATTTAACAAGGACCAAAGGACCACGTGAAGAACATTTTCATCTTACAGTGCAATTCATGTGGATGCTACCTTACGTGCTCCACCCACCCAAACACAGTTGCAGACCAAGTACCCCCCCCTCATGGCAGCGGCACTTATCGATGGCAGTGCCCCCCCAGCAGGACAATGCACCATGCCACATCACAAAAACTGCTCTGCCATGACCCAAGGAATGGGACAAAGAGTTCAAGGCGTCGAGATCCCAATCTGATCGAACATTTGAGGGACCTGCTGGTACCCCAGAGGTACCCCCGATCCACAGTGGGTGCTCTTTGGGCCGGATTTGGCTCTGACCTGTTAAGACCCAGGACCTCTGGAGGGCGTCCCTTGGTGTCTGGCACCAGGGCGTTAGCTTCAGATCTTTTGAGTCCTGTGCGTTGTGAGGTGGAGTACCAGCACGTCCCACAGATGTTTGATCAGATTGGGATCTGGGGAATTTGGAGGCCAGGTTGATGCCTTGAGCTCTCTGTCTTGTTCCTCGGACCATTCCTGAGCCGTTTCTGTGGTGTGGCATGGCGCATTGTCCTGCTGGGGAGCCACTGCTACTGGGCAGTGCCGTTGCCATGAGGGTGGGTGCCTGGTTTGTATTCAGGTGGTATCCACATGAATGCCAGAACCAAAGGTTTCCCAACAGAACAAGGCACTGTAACAAGATGATCAGATTCTTATTTCTATAGTCAATTTTTTTTTATCTCTGTTTCTTGTCTTTAGTACTTTCTTTAATTTTTTCAAATGTATTGCAATGCACCATAACACCAGAGCAAATTCCTTCTATGTGAAAAGCTCTTTGAAAATAAACTGGATTACGATGTTGTTGAGATGAGAGAAGGAGACAGTTGTGGAGGATAGTGGAAGAACAGAGGAAGGAAGTGAGCAGGCAGGCAGTCTTTAGGGAGCTGGCCTGAGAATAAAGAGGAGCCAGGGTCTTCCCTCCAGGGTCTGGTCGTGATATGATACCTCTAATTAGACTGCAGACAGGGCGCTTAGTCAAGAGGCCATGGGGGCTGTCTGATCAACTTCCAAAATCAGGAATATACACGACAAGCTCAGGACAACAGATACGTACCTTTTAATCCAAATGTCATGTCTGAGAAAATGGATATTTGATGGATATCAAGACAGATGTCTGTCGAAGACCTTCAGGGTCCCCACACATTGTCATGGACAAATTTTCAAAACTTTTTCATGACTTTCCAAAAACCCATGATAAAAAAATTCTTTAACAGGATTTATGTCTATGTAATAAAGATTATTAATAAAATATTTTGGTCTACTTCCCTTTTTTAACTTCTTAACTTGCCCTGTGCCAGAAAATAGCCTTGTCGGGACAAGAACTCACAACTTCAAACAATTAAAAACAGTGTTAAATGCCTTCAAAATCTAAAACTAACAGTGTGTACCTTTTATAAGAATGTCGGCCCTTTGACGTTGTGTCCAAGATTTCTGTCAACTCTTTCTTTAAATCATTATTTAATCAGTCATAAAAGGTGTTCGCTATATCACAAGGTCTTAGGACATGAACGACTTTGATTTTTTTCAGGTCGACGTATTAATACGTGTTAATAAAGTCGAAGTCGGGTCGACAAGTCATTTGATGACGTCATCACATTGACACGGTGGAGGAAAGTGAAGTATCTCCACACGTGATGTGTGTCTGTCAAGGCCCGAAAATACTCGAGCAGAATGTACGCGTAACGGACTCTGCGGAGGACTGTGCAGACTCAAAGCGGACGTCCGCAAGCCCTGTGCGCGCAAAGCTCAGATTTTACGACCGCGCGGACTCCACTCCGCACACCAGTGACTGCTCGGCATGTATTTTTCACATCGCGGGGATTTTTAACGGACATTTTTACAGGTCTCAAGGCCTCACTTCCTGGTTTCCAAAATGGTGAGAATGCTGCTAAAGTACAGGTAAGCTTTCGATTTTGTCATAAATTCATGAAATTATATTGCTATCTGGTGTGTCTGGACCTTATCAAGACATGAGAAGAATCTAACAATGGTGGACTTTACGACCCCGACGCTGAATGTACTGGAACCTTTTTTTCAAATTAAATAAAAATGGCTGATTATGAAGAGAAGAAACGTAATAACTGACGAGTCTACACACACAATATACTTGGATCCGTTATTTTCGACTAGATGGTGAATCAGAAGAGATCAAATCTAACACCTGCCAGTATTATACTGAGCTGAGTCACCAACTCATCCTTTCAGTTTCAAACAGATCACATCCTGAGATCTCATGAGATCTCACAATAGGACAGCACCAGGCTCGGTGTATTCCAGTCGAAGCAAGGAAACACTGATGCAGCTAAACCTTGATTTCATGCAAGAGCTAAATTTATCCTCGCCTGGTCTATAAATAGCAGCGGGCCGTTGTTTGGGGAGGCTTCGCGCAGCACGGCGTGCGTAGCAACTAGGCCCACATCCATCACTCCCTGTTTCAGACACATTCCCAGTCACAGAGAGACACCACCGCTGCCCTGCAACCCTTTGATTATCTTTGTTTCTTAACAGCTCTGTTCAGATTTCTGGGCCGGCCTTTTGAAGCTGCTGCTCCACAGCTGCCAGGAGACATTCCAGCAGCCTTATTTTGTGCCACAGAAATCCCTAAAAAACCTTTCCTGTCGTCTGCTGTGGAGCTGCTGCAGCACCAGGACAATCGTTATCTTATACACCATCTAGTGGTCGGACAGTGTGTGTACCGCTGCCACTGTACACAATACTGTAAGCATTTTCAGAACAAACATTTCCTGTGAGAACAACACAAAAGTGCAACAAAAATCAGTATGTAGTGTGTAATTGGAAAAATTTGAAGGGTTGCCTCTTCAATACCAGTTTGCTCAGAACTTCTGCACTGCACTGTTTTGTATTAGTCTACTGCAAGACTAGTATAAAAATCCTGAATGGTCTTTTTTAGTACAAGAAAGTTAGGAAAAATTCTGATAATAATTAAGTAGATAGATTCCAATATTCAGAAACTATATTATTTTTTTGTAATGTGATAGACAGTGTTCATTTATGATAACAATTGTTTGTTGCACAATACATTAAAACATAAAATGACCTCAAGCAGGCTAAGAAGAAAGAAGATTTCTGTAGAAACTCTGAATCAGAAATTTGATTTAATCATGAATACTTCAAGAAAAATTTTAAACATTTGTTGGAAAAGTCAATAAACAAAATGACAAAAAAAAAAGGATTATAGGATTATAGATTTAGAAAATTATACTTTTTAAAAAGGAGGGGGGATTATACTTATCATTATTATTATTATTACATATTTAAAATTATGTTACAGAATTTCTGTAATTTTAAGCACCTTTTTCAGGTCATTCCCTTGTTGTTTTTTTTACTTTTTTAATGTTCTTGTTTTAACTTTCTTGTTTTACTAATTTTAAATTTTCCTTTTTCTAATTTCCTTTTTAATTTTCTTGTATTTAATTTTCTTATTTTTTAAATTTTCTTTTTTCAAATTTCCTGTTTTTAATTTTCTCTTTTTTTAAATATTTTTATTGTTTTTAATTTTCTTTTATATAATTTTCTTGTTTTTAATTTTCTTTTTTTCTAATTTTCTGGCATTTAACTTTCTCTCTTTACCAATTTTCTTGTATTTAATTTTCTTGTATTTAATTTTCTTATTTTTTTAATTTTCCTTTTTCTAATTTCCTGTTTTTAATTTTCTCTTTTTTTTCTTGTTTTTAATTTTCTTTTATTTAATGTTCTTGTTTTTAATTTTCTTTTTTCTAATTTTCTGGTATTTAACTTTCTCTCCTTACCAATTTTCTTGTATTTAATTTTCTTATTTTTTTAATTTTCTTTTTTCAGATTTCCTGTTTTTAATTTTCTCTTTTTTTTCTATTTTTCTTGTTTTTAATTTTCTTTTATATAATTTTCTTGTTTTTAATTTCCTTTTTTCTAATTTTCTTGTATTTAATTTTCTCTCTTTACTAATTTTGTTGTTTTTAGTTTTCACTTTTTACTAATTTCCTATTTCTAATTTTCTCTTAGCTAATTTCTTTTCTTTAATTTTCTCTTTTTTCTAATTTTCTTATGTTTAATTTTTTTTTCTAATTTTCTTGTTTTTAATTTCTGCTTCTACTAATTTCATGCAAATTTTTGGGTCATTTCTTCTTTCGTTGCTCTTTGCCTTAGTCCCATGTTTTTGAAAGAAATCCAGCCAGTTTGCTGTCAGGTTTCGAAGGGTTAATGCTAACTGAATACAACACAGGATTATTACACACATGCACGAGGAGGTGGAGGAGACAGTGACAACATTCTGAGTTTAACATGCAGCAAATTTATTCCTAAAATATGCAGAAAATCTGTGGTGTTCTGCGAGCGAAGGTTCCATATGGGCCTGCTCATCAGGCTCTTCCAACCATTGGAACCTTATTCAGACAACACCTTCCTAATCAGTACAAACAGTTTCACCTAGTAGCTCTGCCAAAGAAGTCTTTAATAGAGTTCCACCTGCACTGCATTTACGGATCCCAAAAATATCTTGGAATTCAGAGAAGAGACACAGAATGATCACAAAGGGACAAACACTTTGCTGATCTGTCAGATTTATGTATGCTTGGCCACTTGGTGGTTGCTTCTGCGCCAGGTGTGGCCCACGGGCTGAATGACTCCCTTTCTTTTAATGTATTGTTTTAAAGAAGTTGAAATAACTTCAAAAATCCACAAGTCAGGGTCAGTTCACTTGAATTACGCAAACAGATTTTCTTACTTGACTCTAGTGTTGCACCCTTTTCCAAAAACAGTGTCCTTGTCACTGTGGACAACAGAACAGAACACAGCTTTTATAGGAAAGTGTGTTCGGGTTATCCAGAGTAACAAGGACACCATTTTTGGAAAGACGTGTCCTTCACGAAGTAAATCTTCCATGCTGTGGGCAGCACAAACTAAACCGCTTTGACCTCCAGTGTATTGGGGTAGAGGCAGAATTCTCAAAGGTAGACACTAGCAAACCTGGACCAATAAAACCTGATTCCTAAACCTCCTTTCATACTGTCAGGTGACCTCACACACTCAGAGAGGGCATTTGAAGTTCAGGGGCCAGATGCACCATGAGGCATTAGACCTACTATCAGACGGGTGGACCGGGACGTTCTGGTACCCCAGATGTACCCCTAATCCACTGGATCGGACTTGTCTCTGACATGTCAAGGAAGGGACACATGATCCCTGGAGGGAGTCCAGATCTTCAGATCATTTGAGACCTGTCATTTGTGAGGTGGGGTACCAGCACGTCACAAGATGCTCGTTCAGATTGGGGTGTGGGAGATGGGTTCTTTGGATCATCCATGAGCAATTTTTGTGGTCAAGTGGTATCCACGAATGCCATGACCAAAGGTTTCTCAACAGAACATTGCATTGTAACAAGATGATCAGGGTTACTCACATCACCTGTCACTGGTTTTAATGTTTCATGATTGCGTTCCCCACACACTTACACTGACCTACAAAAAATTTAGCCTTACCTTTCTTAGCAGGTACAGGTACACCTGGAGGTTCCTCGAACTTGAGTGTCTGTACCAGGGCCTCTGGAGTGATCTTGGTGCCGGCAAAGACCCCAGAAGGGAAGATCCCCTGCCCCAGAACCTGTGAGGGTTTACAGTAAGTACAAGTATATCAAAGTAATCATGCACCATGATGTGAGAGTTGATTTACTTCACTTTAAAAGGGGTGACCCTTCAAAATAAAGCTCCAAGTCTTGACTGCTATGCCAATTCGTGTGTTGACTACATTCACAGATTTAGACTCAAAGTCAGAACTTTATTTTGTTCCCATAACAGACCTGTTGAGGGTGTTTCGAGGCCACACTCTTGTTTTGCTCCAGCAGTGTTGGTGTTGTGTTGTGGAGCTCCGGGGCTGCAGGCTTCTCTAAACTCGGACAGGAAGCGGAGTCCAGGGACTTTGAGAGGCTGCTCGGCTTGTCGAGCTTCACCGCCTCCTGGTGAAGCTTCTGACGGACATGTTTTATCTTCCCAACCATGTCGACGCAGCTCAGAGAACTTTACATCCAACTCTAAGTCAGTGTTCGGCACAGGCGGCTCTGTTGCTGCTCCCTGCTGTCGACAGCGTGTGACGTCGTCAAGTCAGCGATGCTACCGGAAGGAAGCGGATCTGTGTTACCTTCACATTTCAACATCAAGCGCTGTGTCTGTGTGAGTGTCGTGGGTTTAATGTTCATATTCAAACGAGACAAATCCCCCCTCTGTGTTGTTTAGTGTTATTGTTTGCTGACGTGTTTCCGGTGCTACTTTACATAGGCTACATGGTTAGCTAACATGCTATGCTACGCTAAGCAGTTAGCTTTACATACTTGCTGCCTTATTTATTTTTTGGTTTTGGACTTCTTATTTCTTAAAACGCTCATATGTCAATAAAAGTTTTAGTCTGAAAGGAAGCCGGAAGCACTTGTTTTTCTTTCGGGTAGCTTGACACTGTTGACATGACAACATGCGCGACTTATGTCTCGGGTTAGTGGTCCGGTGGGAAACGACTCAGGGAGAAATATTCCGCATGTTGTTAATCGCCACATGGTTCCGCTGTCCAACTGATAGTCTTTGTTTAATGTTTAATAATCGGTATCAGAGAATATGTTACATTTGCTGCTTTCAGAAAGCGAAACGTAATAAGTTAAAATTATAGATACAATTACAGATACAGAGTAGTTCTCTTGTTTGTTTGTGTTGTTTTTTTGTGTCAAACCAAAAACAAAAAACGAGATAAAAGAGCCTTTTTCCTTTTTTGTTGCAGAATTACATTTTTTTTTTTTTTTTACAAAAAATCAGCGCTCAAAAGCATCGATGCATTTTCGGTGCACCGGTAATTAGGTTGTGCACACCAGGCATATGGTCGGACGGACCCCAATACAGTACACTTCATTATGATGGGCCCTGATGCAAACAATGGGCAACAAAAATACCAGATAAACTAAGGATGGAGATTGGTTTGCCTTTACAATAGCATACAGCAGCTGGAACAACTTTTTTTTTATTTAACATAAGTCCTTTTTTGAATATGGGTGTATGTATTTCTGAGATGGCAATAAGTTACAAGAGCCTGTTCTCTGGCCAGCATGCTGTTGGAAGTCCTGCTCTCTCCATGGGCCCCTCGTCCCATGGGCCCCAGTGCAACTGCACCGCCTGTACTGTCTATACTGTCTACAGCTGGTGCACAAGTTATTATCTTATAGGAACATGTTATTATCTCATGGGAACAAGTTATTACCTTGTAGGAACAATTTATTATCTTGTAGGAACAAGTTATTATCTTATAGGAACAAGTTATCTTGTAGGAACAAGTTATCATCTCATGAGAACAAGTCATTATCCTGTGGGAACAACTTAGTATCTCATGAGAACAAGTTATTATCTTGTAGGAACAAATAATTATCTTATGGGAACTAGCTATCTTGTGGGAACAAGTTATTATCTCATAAGAACAAGTTAATATCTCATGGGCACAAGTTGTTATCTTGTAGGAACATGTTGCTGTCTTGTAGAAATGAGATATTATCTTGTAGGAACAAGTAATTATCTTGTGGGAACACATTTTTATCTTATGGGAAGAAATTATTATCTTATGGGAACAACATATTGTCTTGTTGGAAAACATCATTTTTTTGAGGGAACAAATAATTATCTTATGGGAACTAATTATCTTGTGGGAACAAGTTATTATCTTGTAAGAACAAGTTATTATCTCATGGGCACAAGTTGCTATCTTGTAGGAACATGTTATTATCTTGTGGGAACAAGTTACTATCTTGAAGATATTATCTTGTATGAACAAATTATCGTCTTGTAGGAATAAGTTATCTTATAGTAACAAGTTATTATCTTTTTAACACAAGTTGTTATCTTATGGGAACAATTTATTATCTTGTGGGGACATGTTATTGTATTGTTGGAACATGTCATTATTTTGTGGGAACAAATTATTACCTTGTGGGAACAAGTCATTATCTTGTAAGAACAAGTTATTATCTCATGGGCACAAGTTGTTATCTTGTGGGAACAAGTTACTATCTTGGAGAAATGAGATATCTTGTAGGAACAAGTAATCATCTTGTGGGAACACATTATTATCTTGTGGGAACAAATTATTATCATGTAGGAATAAGTTATTTTATAGAAACAAGTTATTGTCTTTTTAAACATGTTATTATCTTGTGGGAACATGTTATTGTCTTGTTGGAACACATCATTATTTTGAGGGAACAAATTATTATCTTATGGGAACTAGTTATTATCTTGTAAGAACAAGTTATTATCTTATGGGCACGAGTTGTTATCTTGTAGGAACATGTTATTATCTTGTAGAAATTAGATATTATCTTGTAGGAACAAGTAATTATCTTGTGGGAACTAGTTATCTTGTGGGAACAAGTTATTATCTTGTAAGAATGTTATTATCTCATGGGCACACATTGTTATCTTGTAGGAACATGTTATTATCTTGTAGGAACAAGTTACTATCTTGAAGAAATTAGATATTATCTTGTAGGAAGTAGTAATCATCTTGTGGGAACACATTTTTATCTTGTGGGAACAAATTATCTTATAGTAACAAGTTATTATCTTTTTAAAGCAATTTACTATCTTATGCGACCAATTTAATATCTTGTGGGAACATGTTACTGTCTTGTTGGAACAAGTGATGATCTTGTGGACACAAGTTATTATCTCATGGAAACAAGTTATTATCTTTTGGAAACAAATTATTATCATGAGGGAACTATTTTGTTCGCACAAGTCAATAATCTGTTCCCAAAATGTAACTTGTTCCCACCAGATACATAACTTGTATGCACAGGATCATTACGTGGGATCAAGTTATTGTCTTCTTCCCACAATATAACATGTTCACACAAGATAATTATCTTGTTCGCACATGGTCGTACTCTTGTTCTTGCTTAATTGTTGTTATTGACTATTTCTGAAATAACTTAATTGATCTCTGTGCAGTGCTGTGTGCGTTTCTCCACAACACGCTAACACTCAGCATGCATCTTGCCCTGGAGCTTATGGAACCCATCCCGAGCTTTATAGTCACTCAGCTCAATAAACTCAACTCAGCTCAGTAAGAAGAGTAGTAACATGGACAGTTGCATTATTAAATGAAAATCATATGTATTTGCAGATAGATGTGGCAAATGAATATGAGGTCTTCTACAATAAAAAACAAGCAAATAAACACAACACTGTGCTATGCTGTACAGTACATATGAATGCTTCCATGTATACAAAAATAGACATATCAAAACACCTTTACACAAATGGGTAATATGTACATACCACAAAAATAACATCACATGACACAAGACTGCTCACGAGTACTAAATTCAGATTTCAGCCTGTAAATAGCTTAAAAAGAACGACATGCAGAGGAGTCTGGTGTTGATGGAAGAAGCAGCCACAGGTGTAATCTGTTGAAATCTCTTTTGTGACTGGGAGAGCTGGATGACTTCATAACGCAGCCTCCAGCTGCTCCGCTGCAGCTGCTCACTGGACAGCAGATAGCTGCATTTCAAGCTCTGCGTGTTGGCCAAAGTGAAAGCTGAGGACTGTAGCAGTGACACTGGTCCATGAAGTGCTGTTTGTTAAAGGAAAAATACTGACAGAAATATTCATCCTGATCTAAACATGTTGCTGGCACATTCTTCTTTACGACACAATATTTCAGCAGGGACAAATACCTGGGACACCAAACATGAGCAGCAAAGTTCAAGTCAATCACAGGAGCAAGTTACACACATTATAATGGAGGAAACAAAAACATGCATTTCTCATATGCTGCCTAAGAACCACTATAGATTTGGCGTAGTACTTATTTACATAAAACAAGAATAAAAATAAATACTATGTTAGGAGAAGTATTTCTATGCGAAGTAATGACTCAACTATCATGACTAAATAAGATGTGCTGAGCACGTTCTTTCTGATACCTCCGCTGGATTAGGAAAGTGAAGGTTTATCCAGTTCTGTAATCCTGATGTGTACGAATAAGGAGGAGGGAGGAATACTGGTCCCATCTTTGGACAAAAGGTGAATGTGACGATAACCTGAGAACACCAAAGCAAAGCAGAGGCATTAGCAAAATGCGCTTTCTAGATGCAATCTCAGAAAAGTGTGCTCGAAGCTACAGGAGCAACCTCACCTTGTTGTATACAGCTGAGAGGGAGTGTATACTGCCCCACAAAGTCATTTTTTGAAGTCTTGTCATAGTCTTCCACCACAAAGCGCACCATGGCCAGCTCAGGAGAGTGGATGGTGAAGCGTAGGGTGTCGTACCACACGGGGTTGAAGCCTGCAGAAAGGACAGATCGTTCAACAATCAGCCATCCTATCCATTATCTATTCCCTCTTATATTTATTTTTACAGGGACAAGTGTACCATTGTTCTCGATGTATCTGGTCTCCTGCTTGGCCTGGTCGCTTGGAACACCGTGGATCTCTACTCTGACCAGAGGATCCACTATCGAATCCTCTTTGATGTTGACTTTGGGCAGCTGCTGACCACTGATCACCTTCAACACATATACATTGTTCTCAATGAAACAAACTGCAGGGATACATTTTCCTTACTCTCCTCATGAGTTGTACCTGTATCGTAAGGACGACAGGCTGGTAGCCATCCCGTTTCTGAGGTGTCTCAGGGTCAAATCTTTTCTCGGCCTCTCTCATGAAAGCAGGCTTTAGGACATAACCACAGCTGCCATTCTGACTAAACAATCCATCATTCAGATCCATCCCCTCCCCGGCGGTCTGGAAATTCAATGCAACTGCATAAAAACAACAACAAAAACAAGAAACAAGATTTACGTTTTTGACTCGTGCTATTCTCGCCAAGAATTTAAGATTCAGGCACTTGGAGACAATGTAAAGCTGCACTGGGCATCTTTGCAATATCTAGAAAATTTGAAAAAAAAAGGTCACTCAATCACCAATTTGGCACCCAGCATTCCACATTTCCTGAGGATTGAAGTTGGAGGAGTCTGTTCGGAAGCCACTGGGATAAACCCTGGTCAGCTGCCGGGAGTTATGGTGCACAAACTCAGCCCCTGCAATGGAGATAATAAATAGGGTGTGACTGAAGCTCCAATAATGTTATCATAAGGCAATCATAAACACAGCAGGAGAATGATTATATTTCATGGTCTGTAATTTAAGGACTCACCAGCCTCTCTCAGGTGTTTGCGGGCCTTGGACTCTGTGAAAGAGGCGACCTCGTAGAACTTGGAGTGGATGCGAGAGTGTTTGAAGTTACTGAAGTGGACGCTTTTGCAGTAGACGACACAGTCTGACAGCTCCTTGGACAGATGCTGCTTTGACTTCTATGGAAATAAGAGGACAGAGGAGAAAAAGGTAAGTCAATAAGTAAGTAAGTAAGTAAATTTTATTTCTAGAGCACTTTTCACAGATAAAATCACAAAGTGCTTTACAGCAAGAATAAAAAAAAATCACATATACACGTCACGGGAGCTATACTGTTCTGACTATGAGGGGATTCAAACACTTTATGTTGTACAGTAAACTCAATAAAATAGAGAGCAGAAGAAGCAACAAAAAAGCTCCAGTCTTTCTATAGCAAGGGAGTTCAAGTATCTCGGCGTCTTGTTCATGAGTGAGGGTGGAATGGAGCGTGAGATGGATTGGCAGTTTGGTGCAGCTTCTGCAGTGATGCGGGCATTGCGCTGGTCTGTCGTGGTGAAGAGGGAGCTGAGCCAGAAGGCAAAGCTTTCGATTAACCGGTCCAACTATGTCCCAGTCCTCACCTATGGTCAAGAGTTCTGGGTAGTGACCGAAAGAATGAGATCGCGGATACAAGCAGCTGAAATGAGTTTCCTCCATAGGGTGTCTGGGCTCAGCCTTAGAGATAGGGTGAGGAGCTCGGACATCTGACAGCTCAGAGTAGAGCCGCTGCTCCTTCGCGTCAAAAGGGGTCAGTTGAGGTGGTTCGGGCATCTGATCAGGATCCTCCTGGGCGCCTCCTGCTGGAAGTATTTCAGGCACGTCCCACTGGTAGGAGGCCCTGGGGCAGACCCAGAACACCCTGGAGGGATTATATATCTGATCTGGCCTGGGAACACCTTGGGGTCCCCCCAGGAGGAGCTGGAAATGTAATGGCGTCAGGTAACTGGCAAAGGCTGGGAGCTCTATGAGGGCCACTGGTGGACAGGTGTGGAATGACAAGGTCTGAAAAGATCCTTCAAGATGTAACCTAAGAGGCTTCAGCTTTTCCACTGACTTGTAGGAATAGCCCAAACCCACTGACCTAAAGAGACATTTAAACATCTTTGGGTCGTTAACACACTGCAGTCACACGAGGCTCATTGAGGTCGAGCCATGACTTGGCTCTGTGTTAACGCCAGTCACTACCACATGATAGGGTAAACCCTTGTGATGCAAGGAATCCTGTCATGGATGGAGGCGCAGCACACATCGAAACCTTGAGACAACCCCCTCTTGAATTGTGTAAGTGATACTTCCCCACAATGCCAAGCAGAAGCAGGTGTGTTGCCAAGGTAGCTTCCATGAGAGTAGAGATCAGAGGTGTAGCGAGCCCAAACAGCACAGTGACAGTTAACCTGCAGAGCACCTCGGCGTGCACGCCTGCCTGCTTCCACATGAAAGCTGATCTGCCTGGTCTACCTGGACTTCGGAGAGTCACCCCCCCTCACCTTCACCCGTCTACCTGACAGCAAGACAGCTATCTCTCCAGACACCTACACCATCAGCAGGGGCACCGCTGAGCTCACATCTCTGCCAAGCTCAATGCTGGCCTCACTTCTGATGACTGTGTTGACAGGAGTCCCAGTGTGGCGTTTCGTGCTTCTCAGATGCTTATCAATAAACATGACTCTAAGTGCCCAGTGATTCCTTTGCACACTTAGTTTGCTGGGGATGTAGATGCACATTCAGCATGAGAAATGATCCTCTAAAGATGGCAGAAAACTTTCTTCAACTGAACCAGGACAAAACCGAGGTCTTGGTTATTGGTCCTGAAGCTCAGAGAGGGAAACTAAACACAGAACAGCAAGAATTGGCACTAAAACCCCGTCAACAGGTGTAAAACTTTGGAGTTGTCTTTGATTCAAGTCTCTGCATTGGCTTCTGGGGTGCTTTCAGAACTGATTTTAAAATCCTGTCATTGGTTTATAAAGCTCTTAATGGTCTTAGTTCTACCTGTTCATCAGATTTGCTTTTATTGTATGAACCCTCTAGAACCCTCAGGTCTTCTGGTTGTGGCCTTTTATTCATCCCCAATGTTAGAACAAAAATATGAGTTGCCAATGCATATTAATCTCCTCAGGGACCGACGACTACACATTTAATTGACTATTTATTCTATGGCTAAGAAACTGGTGAAACAATCTTCAACAGGCTGCACTCAAGAACTTTACCTCAAGAACCTTCAAGAACTCTTCAAGTCTTCACGAACCTTTCTAATGAATCGACTCAAATATGTTTCATGGTACAAAAAATCAGGTACTACATACTGACTTCTTCCACACGGAGCTCTTCAAAGGCAGATTGACACAACTTCACCAAAGCAAGTCCACAAGAATGCCGTTCAAATGCCAATCGTGTTGCCTTTTTGAATATCAAATACTGGTACCATATCTGAAAGTTAGCTTTTTAATTTGCCCTTAAAAACTGGTGTCTAGTACAATTAGTATTTGAATTATTATAAGTCTATTCGGAAGTTACGTTTAAATTTAATTGCCTAATAAAATATTTGCAATAGTTGATACTTGATATTACAGTTTGGCCCTACTTAGAGACACTACACCTCCGTATTTACAACAGAGGTGATTACTGACTGCAATTAGTGCTCTTAAGAGTATCAAATATCCCATTTTAGAGACGACCGAACAACCTTCACCTTGCTGAGCTTAGCCTAGTTTGGCCTAGCCGGGCATGGTCTGGTCTGACATGACAGAGTAGGACAGCACCTATGACATCCTCTTCTATAGAGATTCCTCTATCTGTCATGTCTACTTGTACCCTGGACACACACAGTGGTGGGAAAATGTGTGTTTCCATTAGTTATGTAGGAGTTGATGTGTTTTTAGGTTTATAAAGTTAGGCCTCCTCAGATCTGGATTGCTGGGGTAGAAGACACCTGGGTCAAGAGTGGTAGACAAGTGTTGAAGGCTCATTCTCTGCCCCTGTCTGCCTATGTGTCTCTCGCTGCTATCACAGTGTAAACAGATCACCTTATGCAACACCCAGTGTCTGCTCCCTGCCCTTCAATCCTCTCCATTTTTCATGAGGGATGACAGAAGTTTATGCAATCCTTTTCCGCTGGATAAAAAGGTGACCACAACTACAAGACACTGACAACAAAGACGCCAAGGAGAAATATTTGACCTTGTCCTTTCATTTAGTTCAGAGAGAACACCCTGGACAGGTAGCCAGACTATCACAGGGCTGACTGATTAACCTGCATGTCTTTGGACTGTGGGAGGAAGCTGGAGCTCCCATAGAAAATCAATTTAAACTCAGATTCCACACAGAAGGGCCTAGTTAACACAAGCTAACACAGCAGAAGTGGCATTGCATTCAGCAGTGACTCACACAGACACCGAAAAAAGCTCGACTCTGTCATGAAACCTTTCAACAATCGTTAGGTGACATTAGCCGTGTGATGCTAACAGTTAGCCCTGTGTGTGTGCAGGGCAGGCAGACTCCTACCACCTGTCCACTGTGTGCAGCAGTATTTCATCATAGTTGTTTTTGCACAACAGGATTTTAAGTCGGAAATATCAAATGTTTATGATATTGAAAATATGAAACCAGGAAAACTCCAATCCATTAAGCTTAAGATTATGTCTGTTAACCCCGGCACTACAGGGTTATCTGGGAAAATAATCTACTCAAACCAGCCTTGAATTGGGAACACGGGGCAGGTGAGTCAGACCCAAAAATCTGCCCAATTATCCTCCAATGCGGGGGCCAGCATCAATCTATGAAGTGTTCCATTCATATATTAAAAGCCTCAGTGTTGCATCACCAGCCTAAAAAGCACTGAACTAGAGGATCCCGGTTCTATATCCGGCTGGCTCATCAGACTGTGTATAAAAGGCTTTCTGAATCTGAGGTCAAAAAGGTGCATTAGACAACCTGATGTACCTTAATCCTGCGACGGACACTCTCGCGGTGGAGGTTATCCTCATCGATTTCAGCCACCTCTTCCTCATCACTGACCTCTCCACTCTGAGACTCCTCCACCATCCCGTTGAAACTCTCCTCCAGACCACCGATTTTCTTCGCCTTCAGCAGAATCCTCCCCTTAAGATCCTGACAGGAAAGTCAAATATAACCTCAGATCATCCATTAAATCCAGTTTACTTTTTAACCAATTCATGTGTGGAAAAATGGAGTGATTAAAACTCTTAAAATGGGCTAGTGGACTGACTGTAAGGGGGGGAAATACTGTGGTGTTGAATAATTCAGAGTACCACTGTTGCATGTAGACACAGATCATATGGCCCAGCAGGCTCTGACAGGCTTTGGGATGAAAGTAAAGGTGCCCTCTGGGTCACTGTGAGCTCTGACAGGTTCTACGGGGGTGTCAAACTCATTTTGGTTCTTGGACCTCACAAAGCCCAATTCAATCCCAGGAAGCAGACCAGTAAAACTTTTGTAGAATGACCTATAAATAACACCACTTCCAAATGTTTTCTTTTCTTTAAGTGTGAAGAAGTACAAGTGCATTCTAATCATGTTGATCAATTTATCGAACAAACGGTAAGGGTTGGACTGAGACCCCCAGTTTTCAGGCGGACCAGGGTTCACTTGTTTGGTCTGCACCAGAGTTCGAATGATCATTCACACCACTCCAAACGGACCGAACTATCCATGGGAGCGGACCAGGGTTCGTCTGGGTTCACCAAACAGAGCCAGTGTGAATGCGTCCTTAGCCTTCACAGCTGTGCAAAGTCATCCAGAGGTCCACATTGGACCCTTTGCACATGCATACTGCATTATGCATGGAGAGATGTCAGAGCAAGGGGGCTACCTCACAGGATGGTGCCCCTCGCAGTTGTGGGTTTGGTCAGTTATGGGCCTTGTGCCTTGTTCAAGGGCACCTCTGCAAACTGGCACCAGTCCACACTCTGTGCTTAGTCCATTTGTGGACTTGAAGTGGTGACCCCTTTGGTTCCCAAGCCAAGTTCCCACAGACTAGTCTGAGTGGGCGGAAGTTCACTGCATAGATCAGCCTCTCATTGGGCGGAACAAGCCACCCGCTGAAGTCCCGCCCTACCACCTACGGTTGTGTAGCAGTTTTCACTGTTTTCAACACGTCCTTTACTAACTTTTGCGGTGTTTGATCTTGCAGGGATGTAGCCATTTTTCTGCCATGGTTCGCATCCTGTAGGCGATATATTTGTGGCCGTGTTACACCAAAACCTGTTTCCCCCCGGCAATATTTTTGCAAGCACACTGTTGCTGTGGCGCCACCCAGAACGATTGTGATTGGTTGAAAGAAATAAAAAAAGCCGGGGCGTTTTTTCTCCAATCTTAAAGTGAGAGTCGGCGCAGCCAGACCTTTCTTTTCTTGAGAAAGGTCTGGTGAGCGAGACTACCACAGACTGACTGAGCTACTGCTCCAACAACGACTTGATGTAAGTCTGCTTTGCCGTCAACCCTTTGTCAGTTACATCTAAGCTAACTTGAACTTGGTGAGGTAAACAGACAATCTATCTGCTCTTTATGGTAAAATTCTGAATGGTTGCCCCATAGAAGTCATTTACAAGTCATTTAAAGCTGTAGCACATAGAGTGGGGTAGGGTTAGGACAACAGACTGCACTGCTCACCTCAGGAGATGGCAGCCCAATGGGGGCCTTTCCATCTAATGTGCTTTTCAGCAGCTTGTCACCGAGGATGTTGTTGAGGTGTTGGGCCATGACTCTTTGTTGCTCAACACTGCAGTGGTTCTCGATGGACAGGATGACTGGATATTCAGATACCTGGACGGGGTAGAGAAGGAGTCAGAGGGTTGGAGGGAGTGAGTTTGTAATTTAACACTGCAGAGCATTATCATCGGGGAAAGCTAATACACCTGCTGACATATGCCTGTGGATTGTGCCTGTCTGGTTGACAGACCAGCAGATGGATGCACAAGGGGTCACAAGGCCGAAATATTCAGCTGTGGAATCGATGCTCATACACAACAGTGTCTGACATACATCTGAACCTGGCAGCTGTTCATTTTGGCATGAGGCTGGCAGATCCCTGGTTAGTTGACTTATTCGGGCTTTCAGATTATGTCCTGGATATCATTGCACAGTTGTGCATCCCCTCATAAATATACAATGAGATGCTGAGCAATTTGTTCATACAGCTTTACTAGACAACGAAAGCAGAAAGAATGCCTATGCCAGCATGAAGGGATTAGGAAACATGTTTGCATGTTTGGTCTACTTGAAAAGCCACATTTGGACCAATGTGATGATCTGTAGTTGGGCTGTGACTGTGTGATCTGTGCAATCAGAGAGCCACCATACTTTTTATTGCAAAATTTACGACTAGACTTTTTGCTCTGGCCAGGATTAATTCAAACATGAAAAGGTTCATTCGCATTCACTTCTACATGGACAGATGATGCTACCTTGAAGGCATAGTTGCCCACTGCATTGACCACGTCCTTGAAGAGTATCTTGGAGGTGAAAGTGTGTCCATGATAAACGATGGGTTCTCCATTGGCACCATCCCAGCAGTCCACCTCTACACACCGACAGCCACGACTCAGAGCTCTGAGCAGCAGAACAAATTCAGTCTTTAATCCCAGGAGGGTTGAAGGTATCCAGGTTGAAAATCAAGACTTAATCAATTTGATAACATAGAATTAATCACCTAATAACTATTAGATGTCAGGAATTCCACTTAATTCTAGTGATGAATTTTGTAAAACTACTAAAGAATGGAAGATTAATGCAGGGTAATGCCAAAGTAAAGCTCAATTGAGCATAGAAGAGAACACATTAGGGAAGGGATCTGTGCTGATGGAGATCCTGAGATATTTAAAATGGTGGTCTTCCTGGATGTGTGCCATAGGCAGACCTAGTTCTCATGTAATCATATAAGCCTCTTTTCTGTAGGAGTTCCTGGCAAATTTATGAAAGTTCGTATGGACACCAAAGAAATCTAGAAATCTTTCAAATCTAGAAAGATTTTGAGTCTGGCCTTCACTGATACACCCTTCCTACCCAAGGGGCGGCACTAACTGAGGCATATTAGATGCTGCCGCACGCAATTGGATAGCACGATAGCCAATCAGCAAAAAACAAGGTGACGTATTCATTGCACTAAGCCCCATTTGTTTGCCAACCAGTGGGGCTAACTGATAAATTATGCTTTTGAAGTATACAATAGGCAAAAAAGCAAAAAAATCCTTCCTGGAAAAGAAAGCTTCTAAGGCAGTCTTCTGTTACTCTCTCAAGGAAAAAGATAAGTGTAGTTGGCTTAGCATTTCTTCCAAAGCTAAATTGAATGGATGCGGTCCTTCGGCATCTTGGCCTACGGCGCAGCACTGTCTTCATCGTGTTACACCCGCCCAGACCCCGCCTCTGTCAGATTTGATTGGTCCGATAGGTGATTTCCAGGTTATGCAAGGGGAGCACCAAGCAATTTTCCCCCTTTGATGCATCCCCCAATCTTTGGCATCCCTACCTACATCACCTAGACCACAAACTGCCACTAATTAGCTGGTTTGGCAGATTTGTCATTAGGCGCATAACTAGAGCATGCCTTGGCCTTACAATTGGTTGATTTTAGAATTATAACGTTTGGTTGTTTGGTCTTAGTCACATCAGCATCATCTGTCGGTCAGCACTGCTTTTGGTAATCTGAACATCACAAAGACATTTCCAGCAGAGCCACATGATCAAACCTGACTAAGCTTGAAATGCTATCCCAGCAGCATTACCTGATATACCCCTCCACGCTGCTTTGTCCTCGGAGCTGGTCCTCCATAAGGTAGGTGTTGTGAGAGGAGGAGATGAAGTAATGGCACAGCGGCTGGGTCATGTCTTGGAAGACACCCCGCCACTGTGGGTGAAAGATGGAGCCCTCAGCTGAGCCGAGGTACATCAAGAAGCCATCGAACGTCATGGCACTCAGCTGCTTGGCTGAAAATACAGCAGGATGGTGTCAGAACCTTTTCACATAGTGCTGGCATCATGCCTTTAATGGTATTACCAAGAGACACGAGGTACGACTTCAATCATCTCAGTAGAATCAGACAAATATCAAGATACACTCCACGAACCTGTGTCAGAGGGCTCATAGCGCTCAATGAGCTGCTTGGCATGCTGCTGGATGTCACCCCCCTCCAGCTGCTGCTCTCTCAGGAAGTCCTCCAAGTCACTCTGGGATAACTTCTGGCCATCAGCTGAGTACTCCTGGAAAACCCGTAATACATCCTCCCGCTGGGTCAGCATCTTGTAGAAGAGAACAAACTCATCGTCCTCCAGTGTACCCGACTGGGACTTATCGGCCATCTGAAAGAGGAGAAAGAAACAGCCTCAGCAAAATGGTCACGGACACCAGTGTATGTTGAATGCTTAAATCACAACGAAGCTCAAATTAGCTGAAAGACTCTCACTGTGAAGAGACGATGAGCATGGTGCTCATTCATGTCCACGTTCATCATCTTCAGTAAATCCCGCACTTCCTTGAAGTTCATTCTCCCATCGTTGTTCTTGTCTGCTTTCCTGAACCAGTCACCGATCCATCTAGGTAGGCCACTTTAGGAAAGTATCACATTCAGTAGTGACTGAGACATTCAACCTTGTTTCTAAGAGCTTTGGAAGAGACACTTGGCGAGGACTGACAAGATGACTGCTCGAGTACGTTCAAGTGTAAATTCCTTCCTTACACAACTCTCTGAGGAACTGATCTTCAACCTTGCTTTGAGCTATGGCTCGGTGAATCCCCAAAGTAGAAAACAAATAAATCTGCACCCCAAGCATGATGTGCTGGCACTTAACATTGGCATTGGATATAGATCATGAGGTGAAGAATCTTCCAATATGGACACAATTCTGAGTATACTTGGGTATCAATATAGAATGGGCAGGTGGCCATGAGGAGTGGGGACCTTTATGCTATCATGGGTATACAATCTTTGATTGCAATGACCTGATGGTCTCAACAATTCAGCCTTTATTGACTGGTTGATGGGATTTAGTCTTTTCTACTGTCTAACATTTTGCTAATGAGCACAGTTCAAACCAAAGAGAAATGGAAATGGACTGCAAACCAGCAAAGACTTGGAAGGCGTTGATGGCATATGACTGAAAACACTGATTGAAAGATACTGGTCAAGTTTCTCCCGCTCCCCCATGTTCTCCAGGTTGTCAATCAGCTTCCTCATGCCTCTGATCCAGGACTGAGCCTCCTCGGCTGACTCAGCCACCAGGTCCAGGTTGCCCCTGCGACCGCGGAAGACCAGCGTGAAGCATCGGTCAGCCGGGAACTCATCGGCGATGCTGAGCAGCACCTCGGACTGGTGGCCCTCTCGTATTGCCTCCACATCACTCACTGAAACTGGGCACAAAGATCGACACAGGATGGAGAGATTCGGGGTTTCTTTCTACAACACAAGGCTGCACAAGAGAATGCAAGTTGCAGTCCCTTTATGCTACACTAGAAACTGAATAAACAGTTAGAGAAAAGAAGCTGCTCTGTAGTCTGGTACAATGACAACTGATTATGATGGTGATGATACTCATTCTTTCCAAACACGTTCTTCCCAACCACGTGCGTACTGGTGTAGTACATTTTCTTGAGACAAACAAGAAAAAGACATACATCTAACATCATTCAAGACCCTTCAGAAAATATTCAATCTTGGTTCGAACACCATTAGTTTTAGGATAGACTTGTGCGCAAGCGAGTGCTTCAGTCTAACCCGGTCTCATTCCAAAGTTGTCAAATACCGGCGCTTGGCCAGGGACTTCTGGTGTCAGACACTGACGAGAAAAGCCATCTTTCATGTCAGCATGATACACGGCCGATCGCCATTATTGTTTAACAGTGCGCAGTGGCTTAAGGGGAAACGCGATGGGACAACATGAGGTAAGGGGGCGAAAGTCCGAGTAAGGTGGATGGAAGGGGTGCTGGATGGGTCCAACAACCACCAACTTTCACCCAGGAGGCCGATGGGCTCTTCCTGTGTGATTGTAAAGCCAAACCCTGTTCATTTTTCCTGAACCAAACCACGTGCATTTGTTGTTTGAGGAAAAAAAAAGTCAATTTGTGGTGTTGTACCGACATAGCACATTTCCTATGAAAACGAAAGTCGGAGTGAGAATGTGTTACTATCTATTTGGTCTTATAGCAGCAATTACTTCTCACTGTCTGGACATGATTGAAGTCAGAGACAAAGTTGTTGGTCAGCCTTAATATGTTGTTATGGTAGGCTGATTCATACTTTCTCCAGGGCTGACCTGCAATCTTTAACAAATCCAAGGATTCACCCAAAACCAGCAAAATGGAGAACTGGAGGTAAGTGAATCTTTGATACAGGATCTCATATCATGGGTGTATATATCAGGTCCGAAAAGACTGGGTAAACTGAGTTCTATTGAGTTCATCTTCCACTGTTTTCTACCAGAATGAATGTGGTGACATCTTGTGTAATTAACATCGCCATTTGGGTTATATCATAATAATCATGTTGGGCACAATGCGTCCCCAAAAAGCTCCATCTCATCACCAAATCACGTGTTCTTACTTGTGGAGTGGGTGTTGCCAGCCTTCTTGGATTGGTACCAGATGGTCATGCAGTCGTCCTGCAGTTTGAAATAGCGTTGCTTCTTCCAGGTACGAGACTTGATTTTCCTCATTATGGTCCCCACCAGCATGGACTGGAGGTTGTCATCCCCCTGGATGCCTGGGAAAAGGCGGACTGAGTTAATTTTTATATATATATTATATTCTGTATTAATTCAGTGAACTAGTGGAGAATTTTCACAACTCAGTCTAATATTTAGAAAAGTAAACCACAATCCCACAGCAGGAGACAAAGACAGACTTACGGAGGCCACTCCCTGTGGAAGCCATTCGTTGTGGTCTCACTCTTCTGCCATCTAAAGACAAATAAGTTTGTTATTCATGTAAGTTTACCGTTCCAAGGCAAAGACAGCCAGACATTGTGGTGATTTCATCAGTAAGATAAATGATTATTAATTGTATTTGACAGTCATCATTCTCAAAGGCTGCGTGAAGTCACTACACCAATTACTAATTTTAATATGGAGGCTCAACATTTTGGTTGTCAGACCTTCATCAGGTTACGTAAAAGAGCAAAATGAGCTGAAATTGATAGTCCCACAGTCCCTCCATTATATGACGTTCTTGGCAATACCTGCATCAGTTGCTCCACTCACCCGAACACCGTTGCAGACCAAGTAAACCACCTTATGACAACGGCACAAATCGATGGCAGTGCTCCCCAGCAGGACAATGCACCATGCCACATCACAAAAAACTGCTCAGGAATGACCCGAGGAATGGGAAAAAGACCTCAAAGTGTCGACCTGACCTCCAAATACCCCAGATCCTGATCTAATCGAACAGTTGAGGTACGTGTTCATACCCCAGAGGTACCCCTGATCCACGGTGGATGCTCCTTGGACCGGACTTGGCTCTGACCTGTCAAGGCATGAACACAGGACCTCTGGAGGGTGTCCTTTGGTGTCTGGCACCAATGCATTGGCTTCAGATCTTTTGAGTCATGTAGGTTGTGAAGTGGGGTACCAGCATGTCCCACCCACAGATGTTTGATCAGTCTGGGATTTGGGGAATTTGGAGGCCAGGTCAATTCCTTGAGGTCTCGGTCATGTTCCCTGGGCCACTCCTGAGCAGTTTTTGTGGTGTGGCATGGTGCGACTTCTCTTCTCTCACATTAGGACTCCATTTTCAGGCAGCATTATAGAATCACTTCCCAAACCAAAGCCCCCCACAGGAACTGTTTCTCTGGGTGTAGCTGCATTAGATGCCTGCTGCACATTGCACCAACAGCCACGTTATTCAGCCATCAGCCCAGTGCCATTTGTGGCGTCACGAGGCGGCCCACTAAGCTGATCCGGGTGCTCTTTTGCTGCTCTGTTGTGTTTTCACTACATTCTTTGCTGTCCTGCACTTTTCATTCTGTGTCTGTGTCGCGCTCACTAAGCCAACTAATCTCCACAAATCCTGGTCATGGGCTCACCATCCCATTCACTTATGACCTGCGCTGAGCCGGTGCAGGTACAACTCATTCTCAAAACAGCAAACACATACACATACAAAACATCAAATCAAGCTGAAAGTCCAGGGGTTGAATTGAAACATTTACTCAGTTTTGAAGGGACATCAGTTTAGCTGCTTAGGTAAATGTAGGCTCAGACCGAAAACCCATACAACAACGAGGACAGTATATTGTGTGCTAATCTGTCTGTGAGCTACTGGCAAAGATTTTCATGTCATTGATTTCATTCAAAAAGCAGGATTTCCCGTTGTCAACATCCACACGTATTAAAGGTCAAACTATTACAGCAAGTCAATGGAAGTAGCAACAACAGCAACAACAACAACGGGCAGCATTTGTTTGTCAAACTGCAAGGACCTAAAGTTGAGTCTGACCTGTTGCAGGATCATCCCTGAGTCCCAGTCGCAGAGCTGGAACAGATCATATGGCCCAGGAGCTGCTTCTGTCCCCCTGCATGCCGCGCTGCAGTAATGAAAGCCTGCAACAACTGAAACCAGTGTTAACTCTCTGTGACACACTCCTCCCCTCCTCCCCTGCTTCCCTCCTCCCCATCCCCATCCCTCTTTCCGGATCCTTTTTGTCCCGTTGCTTAGCCCTGTTTAGCATTTGCTTAAACCGCTCCGAGAGTTGTACATTAATTATGTTCGTTGGATAAGAAGAGTGGAGCAGGCTGAACTCATCTAAACGTACTGATGATGATAAGTGGGGCTGTTGTGTGGGTAGTTTATAGATAATTGTTAGAGGAAGGATGTGACACACCATACAACCTGAGCTGTTTCTGACATCCCTATTGGTTCCATTGCGGTTCTCACACCTAATTATGAACCATTCGACCAACTGGTTAAGAGCCTGAGAAGTTGTTTCTTAAGCTGGAATCAAAACCACAACACAGTCTGGCAGCTTGTCTGCTGTCAAACAACACTCACTGGCAGAGGCTTACAGTCACCCCGTTTCCCCTAGCCCTACACCCTCATGCCAGGCGGAGGACCAGCAGAGCTCCACCACAGAGAGCCACAGTGTTTTCTGTCCCGTGTAATGTTACTAAGCCCCGCTCATCAAACTTTGATCAGGCCAGTTAAGCCACAGGCCATGGGGACAGCACATCTGAGAGAGATTCACCATCAAATGACCAAACTGCGCCCAGGTGACCTCTGCAGTCATTGCCGACATACCCAACGCACCTGAAAGCTCACTCACGTGTGTTTGTAAATTTTGAATATTAAAAGTCCGTCTTTGGTCGTCATCTGTGTTCCCTGCTCAGGTTCGGGGGCATTAATAATCCACAGCTTTAGATCAGCTTCCCAGCTCAAATTACACAGACTGAGCCAAGACTAAAATGGAGGGACTCCCTCTTAATGACCTCGTCTCCAGAAAGAAAAAAACTACAGTACCCAGCAGGAACCTCTGCAATAGGTGACCTGAAGTAGGAGGGAAATATAAAAAAAAGTTCAGTTCAGTTTGGTCCATATTATGAAAGTTGTGGATGGTACCAACAGTATGGTTACTGTACCATTTTTAGGGTGATACTGTGGCAAGATTAACATACATCACTACACTATAACTAAGGGCATTTTGCTGCTTTTTCTAGCATCATAATCGCGACCCATTTGAGAGCTCAGGATGTTGTCCATGCAGTTTCCCTTCTCCACAGTCCAGATGAATGGCACCAAACACACCGCTCCACACATGAGGTCTTCCTTCTGTTGGCACTGGTCATTCAGGTTTCACAGTGTGGATACCTTTCAAATTACAGTAAAAGACAAACACTGAGTCATATACATACACCAGCTTGACAGGACAGGTGCATGCAGCAATAATATTAAAAGAAATGACAAAGTCTGGGTTTGTGGGCCGTCAAATTCCATGTTAACTTGTCATATAGCCTCAATAACCAACTCCAAACACGCAGCATTTAGTTAAAATAACATTATTTTGGGGCGTCGGTGGCTTAGTGGTAGAGCAGGCGCCCCATGTACAAGGCTGTTGCCGCAGCGGCCCGGGTTCAACTCCAGCCTGTGGCCCTTTGCTGCATGTCACTCCCTCTCTCTCTCTCCCCCTTTCACACTTGTCTGTCCTATCAATTAAAGGCTAAAAATGCCCCAAAAAATATCTTAAAAAAAAGAATAACATTATTTCTTTAACCATGCTAAACATGACATTCATATTTTCAAGTTACACACATACACTTTTTTGTAACTGCACACAGTCTGCAACATTCTAACGTACCGTAACTGTTATCAAAGTCTACGATACGATATGATATTATCATGACACTTAAATCGCGAAACAATGTTATTGCGATTTTAAATATGTTGCGATATAGTGAGTATTATGATAAAAAGCAAAAAGAAATGACCCTCAAAATTATCAAAAAAAAAAATTTAAAAAAGGAAAAAAAGAAAGAAATTAAAAACAAGAAAATTAGTTAAAAAAAAAAGCAGAGAAAAGTAATAAACAAACAAGGAAATGACTTGGAAAGAGTGCTTAAAAATTATAATAATTAAAAGTAATAATAGTAATAATAATTATTTCCATTTTTTTGTAATTTTCTATTTAATTTATTTGCAATTTCTGTGAAATTTCTTTCCAAGTTCCAAGTTATGGGGCATTAATTTGTAGGACATAAGGCTGACCTCTCATAGTCAACCAAATGTTAGTCGACCAGAGAGGTCATCATTTGGCAAGATTTTATTGGTCGCTAAGTCGTGGAAAAATCTACCAGGAGCTGCGCCTTGTCAAAATAAAACCTATATGAATATATGAGCAAAATTTTAAAATGTAATAAGAATAATTAGCATAAATATAGTTTCTTTTTTCCTCCATTATTTAAAATTATTTTCTGTTTTTTTTATTTGTGGGATAGTTCTTTTATTTCAACCACATTTCTTTGTATTAAATTATTATTATTATTATTATTTTTTTTTTACATATAATTCTATTCACTATAGATAATATACAATATGATTTGATTTTTTTTCTTTAAATCATACGGACTTTTATTTGGAAAGTCAAACATGAAACAACACCGGAAGTACTTCCCCTACTGCGTTATCGTCACAGAGATTCAAAATGGCGTCTAGTTGACTGTTTGGCTGTTTTCTATAGGAGATATCTCAGCAGGTCTGAGTTCTCTGAGCCTCTGTGTGTCTGGATAAACCTGTCTTTATGCTGTTCACCCTTTATCTGAGTGTTTTGCCTCTGAATTACATCCCGTTAGCCTACCAAGATGCTAAATGTAGCTTAGCATGCTAGCTGGGGATCACAGAGTGGGAGCAGGCTGCGGGAGACGGAAGTTTGCACTGTTTCAGCAGTCATAGTAGTTGGTTCATGGAGAGGGCAGTGTTTATGACGGAGTTTGAGTGATGACACAGTGTGTCATTGTGGGAAAATGTCCAAAGTCCACATGCTGAGCGCGCTGGTGAAGCAGCGACTAACTGCGGGTAAACCAGCAACAGAAGAGCGGCTGTATTCGGGACTTTACGGTAAGTGAAAGGCGTTGACACGGATAATTATGACATTAATTAAACCGCTTTTACAGCAAACAACCCCTCTCAGTGTTTCCTGACATCATGTAGCGAATTTAATGAGCCATATGTTGATTAGCATCCTCATTGCTGACGCTAGAGCAGAAGCAGTGTACTTCCGAGATACATCTGGATTTCACAATAAAAGCTTCCAGAGTAACATTCTTCCCTTTTAATGCTTTCTGCATTTCTGAAACAATTCCCTTAAATGCTAAATGTACATGGACACCAGTGGCCACACATTGTACACACACTGTCTAAATAATAATCATCTTTGATATCTCAAGCTTGATAATGTGTGTGTCTGCACTTTGTTCTGTCCTGCAGACGTCCAGCAGCTGCTGGTGAGTAAAGAAGAGGATCCCCCTGAGCAGCAGGAGTGGAGCACCACTGTGGACCAGGAGGACCCAGAGCCTCCACACATTAAAGAGGAAGAGGAGGAAATCTGGAGCAGTGAGGAAGGAGAGCAGCTTCAAGGACTGGAGGAGGCTGATATCACCAAGTTCCCATTCACTCCTGTTTCTGTGAAGAGTGAAGATGATGAGGAGAAGCCTCAGTCCTCACAGCTTCATCAGAGCCAATCTGAACAGGAGGAAACAGGAGCTGATGGAGAGGACTGTGGACGACCAGAACCAGATACCGATGACAAGACAGGAGACTCCTCTGAGACGGACGTCAGCGATGATGACTGGACGGAGCCCACAGAACCTCAGTCAGGTTTAAGCTGTGTGACAAATAATGTCATTGATACTGACAAGGAGTCATTTATCTGCCCCGAGTGTGGAAAACCATTCGGCCACAAGACGAATCTGAAAAGACACATGAGATGCCACACAGGAGAGAAACCGTTCAGCTGCTCGTTTTGCAGTAAAAGCTTCAATCGGAGGGAACACGTGGTCGCTCACATGAGGTGTCACTCAGGTGAAAAACCTTTCAGCTGCTCAGTTTGTGACACGAGTTTCAGCCACGGTTGGTCGTTGGAGAAGCACATGAGAGTCCACACCGGGGAGAAACCATTCAGTTGCTCCCTCTGCAGCAAAAGATTCCGGCAGCGCTCCGATTTGGTCGCGCACTTCCGGATTCACACGGGAGAAAAACCTTTCTGCTGCCTGGTTTGCAACACGAGTTTCACCCAGCGTCACACTCTGGTTCAGCACATGAGGACCCACACGGGCGTGAAACCGTTCGTCTGCTCGGTTTGCGGGAAGAGCTTCTCGAGGAAGGGACACATGACGAGACACATGACGGCTCACACGGGGGAGAAACCGTTTAGCTGCAGTGTGTGTGACAGAAGCTTCACTTGGCAGTCCCAGTTTAAGAGACATGAGTGTGCTGGTGAGAACAGCGGCGCAGCAAGTCAACATTAAGAAGCTCCTCAGAGTGTCTAAACGTTGACAAGAGCAACATGGATATGTAAGAATGTATCGTATAATAAATGGGCATTGAGAAATGAGTTTTGATTTCCTGTCTTGTGTTGATCAAAGTTCTTATTCACACTGTGTAAATACTTAGTGTGTATCTCACATCTGTGCGCTCAGTGCGGAGCTGAATTCAGAACAATTTAGTCCAGAGATTGAGATTTTCTTTAATTCTTCAAATAATAGGGGCGACAAATTAACGGATTAGGAGTCTCCAAAACAGTGTCATGTGTTAATGTGCTTTCTGTTCCTGTCCTTTAATATATAATATTAACTTACTCAGGGACTGCAGATGAAAACTGACGAAATCTGACACATTTAAACTAAAAAAATTTTTGAGAATTTTTGAAAATTTTGTTGGTGTGACAGCGCAAAGGTGTAAAAGTATACAGACTTTAACAGCAGACATATGAAACAGACATTGTGATTTAAGAGTGGTACAGATTTCTAGTTGGTTCTGTCAGAGGAAGTATCGTAAGTGGTTTTGTACACGTACGAAAGTATGCCGTGCAAATGTGTCATATATTTATTTATGAATAACAGGAACCAGAGGGATATGCAGGTACAGTATGTGCAAGGCGGAGGAGGATAGAAATAAACAAAGGATTATACTAATATTTTTGATAAGTTCAAACATTAAATAAAAATGAGGAAGGAAAGAACAGTAAAGTTAACCCGTTTAATCCCAAATTTTTCTCACACAAAATTATCAAAATCATCTATCACTGATAAAGAGTTGTACCAATACCAGTATCAGAAATGCCTCCGATACTGCCTAAAATGCGGTATCGGGTATCGGCGAGTACAGCCTATGACCAATCCAATACCACGTAATGCCTCACGTCATTACGCATACGCACGCTACAGACAAACGTAATGGAAATGGAGCGGAGTTTAAAAAGCATTCTACTGTAGCCTTTAAAATGTCTTTTTTACCAAATTGTTTGGCTGCACTTTAACCTGTGTCTTGATCTGTGTCGACACTGGATAATAATAAAAAAAGTTTTACGGCATTCATTCAGCTATTATGTATTTATTTCTTAATATTTTACGTAGAGTTTTAGGAGTTGAGACATACAACAATTCATATCCCATCCATTTTTATTTTACGTGCTGGTATCAGATTGGTACTCGGTATCAGCAGATACCTAAGGTTCAGGGATCGGAATCAGTATCGGGAAGGAAAATGTGTTATCAATACATCTCTACACTGATAACCCTTTGAAGTAATCAATCATTATTTTCTAAAAATTTCACCAGTGGCATATCACAGCAATGCCAAAGGTCACTTCTGGCCATGTTTCATACAGTACTGCTGCGAAAGGTAGCTTTTGTAATCACTGATGAAGTTGTTCCTGTCATAATCTATTTGCATAAGTTTAACATGTGAATTCAACAGCCTGTCTATATCTGAAAAAAAAAATTTGTCAAATACCACTGCTTTGTTGGTGGTGTCAGCATCAGACACTGATGTCCAGAGGCACCTTTTGCAGCGGTACAATACGCACCTGTGCTCTAAGTTTATAACAAGAAACTTATCTCATAAAAAAAAGAAATGTTTGTTGTTATAAGATAAAAACATCTTGTAAAAATGTGAGAAACATCTGGTATAACAAGGAAGTTTTCATGTTATTACCTGTCGGTGGGGGATCTCCTCCCAGACCTGGATCAGGGCAGCTCCTGGACCGTCTGCGGCGGCACTTGGCGGCGTCAGATGCATAACTTCGCATGGGTTATCACTTGGATTGAGGGCAGGGGAACAAGAGGGCCAGTCAGTGGCATCAATACCTTCATCATCCAGGAGCTGCCTACACACTCTGGAGGAGGAACCCAGGGCCCGCTGCATCAGCGTAAGGTCAAAAAAAAAATTCCTGGTTCCATCGCACATTTTTGATCAATAATCAACAATCATATCACATACAATATCTAATATACAGTTAGTAGTAGTTTCCAGCTTTGCCTGAAAACAAACATGGACACCTCAGTCTGTTGTTCAGTGTGCTTCAACTCACTTTAATGGTTATACTGTTAAACTGTGCACAATATTTTAACACTCGCATTCATACAACCATCTGTGCCGTAAACCCCCATGTCTGATTGGCTGCTCCTCTCTGAACACACACGAGTGATCACTTAAAGGATAAGGCAACATTTTTCAAAGCCTATCTTAAAGACAAACACGGACATTTCCAATTATTTACACTGGAACACACTCACTGAAGTCCATCAGTATGCAGCAGTGCAGACTTCCAGACAGGGGAGTTCATTTCCTGCTGATCTCACCGTCACACTTGTGTTTCTTGAGCTGTTTCCGCCAGCTGAATCTTTGGTCACAAACACTGCAGCTGAAAGGTTTCTCCCCAGTGTGGATGACCATGTGCTGTCCCAGATTCCCCCGTTCTCTAAACTGTCTCCCACACACTGAGCAGCTGAACGGTTTCTCTCCTGTGTGGCATCGTATGTGCCTCAGCAGGGAGTCCTTGTACCCGAATACTTTCCCGCAGTCAGAGCAGGGAAACTGTTTCTTAGGAAGGCGTCTCATCTCACCGTCAGGGTCTCGATGACTCTGTGTTTGGTCGTCGTGAACCTGCGACGACTCGCCGACACACTGATGGAGCCTGAGCTGATACGGCCAATTGAACGTCTTGTCACAAACAGTGCAGCTCAGTCTTTGCTCGCCTGTGTGGACTCGCATGTGTCTCTGTAAGTGTCTCCTCCACGGGAAACACTTCTTGCAGACCGTGCAGCTGAATGGTTTCTCTCCTGTGTGAGATCGCACGTGCTCCCACAGGTGAGTCTTGCGGCCAAATGTTTTACCGCAATCAGAGCAGCTAAATTGTTTCTTGTAGTAATTTATTCCAATATCGCCCAGAAGGACTTCGGTCCTTGGTGCAAAACAGTGTGGGGCCTCTCAGTCAGCTTCTGCTTCCATGTGTTCAGTCGAGCTGCTAGCTGGAGGAGGCTCTGCCTCTGAGAACGGACGATAGACACACTGATGGTTTTTGAGCTGATAAAGCCAAGTGAATCTTTGGTCACACACACTGCAGCTGAACAGTTTCTCCCCCGTGTGACGGGCCACGTGGTACGTCAGATGAACCTTCTGTATAAATCTTTTGCCACAAATCGAGCAACCGAATGGTTTCTCCCCTGTGTGGATTCGCATATGTGTCTTCAGATTTGAGTTCTGGCTAAACTGTTTGCCACACTCGGAGCAGCAGAATGATTTCTTGTCGGTGTTACATATGTTATTTTTTAGAATATTTAAACCTGACAAAGGTTCTCTGGTCTCCTTCAACACGTCACTGAAATCAATCTGGAGTTCGGAAAGGTCCCCTGACTCGTGAACAGTATCTAGCTCTGGGTCTAGTCCTCCACAGTCCTCTCCATCAGCTTCTGTTTCCATATGTTCAGTTTGGCTCCGATGAAGCTGTAAAGACTGAGGCTTCTCCTCATCATCTTCACTCTTCACAGGGACAGGAGTGAAAGGGAACTTGGTGACATCAGCCTCCTCCAGCCCTTGAAACCACTCTCCCTCCTGACTGCTCCACAGTTCCACCTCTTCCTCTTTAATGTGCGGGGGCTCTGGGTCCTCCTGGTCCACAGTGGAGCTCCACTCCTGCCGCTCGGGGGAAACCTCGTCTTTATTCTCAATAACTTTGAAGACGATAGATGATAAGACATCTGAAGGTAAAGGTGAAACACAGATATGCATCAGTGACACTCGTTACACCTTGTGAGCATTTTGATAACAGAGTCAGACCTGTCTCGTGAAAGGAAAGGCTTCACGAAACACTCCTGATGTCAAGGTCAAGGATCACCAGCGTACTTATACACCAATCAGCCAAAACATTAAAACCAGTGACAGGTGAATTGGGTAACTTTGAATATTTTGTTCCAATGCATTGTTCTGCTGGGAAGCCTTTGGTCCTGACATTCATGTGGATACCACCCACTCAAACACTGTTGCAGACAAAATAAACTCCCTTAGATTTCATTGGACTGTGACACATCTTGGGCTTTTATTTTGAAAGCCACAAAAACCTTACACATCCGCAATCAGTGTAAACATTGGTGTATTTTGACCTTGAGGCATCAGAAGGACGATAAATGTTAGCAATATGTCGTATTATTAAGTCTGGGTCTGTATACAGGGCAGTGGAGTCACAATATAGTAGAAAAATCTCCTGCAAACCTGCTCTGTTTATTTCCGGTTCCACGCGCAGCTCCAGTAGCTTCCGCTGTCGCTCGTTCTCCTCTTTTGCGCGAGAAAGTTCCTCCTCGTACTCCGATATCGTTCTCTCAAACAGCCCAAATATCTCTTCAGCAGCCACAGTTAGTCGCTGCGTCACCAACGACCTCAGCATTTGGACTTTAGACATCTTAAAAACAAAAAACGGGACTCGCCGTTACGACGAGGCGCCAGCTAGCTCCAACTTCCGGTAACTTCCGGTGCATGAGGATGTCTGGGCTTCAAAATAAAAGCCCTGAAGCTTTTATGACGCAACATCTACACTTGTACAAGAAATATAAACCACAGAAAATTCATCACTCACAAAAAGGCAGTGACACCAACTCAGCAACCGTTCTTACCGTATTAATTACTGCTCCGATATCAATGTGTGTCAGCTAATAAATGCATCTGCAGGTGAATGAACATGCTGAAGCTGATATTTGTTGAGCAACAATTTATTGCAGGTCTCCAAATCAGCTGCAAAACACATGGCAAGGCAGTGAACGTGAATGTCTTTGAAACCGTGGCTCTGTGGGAACAGAGTTGCCATTTGCTCGCACGTCTGAAAACATCAGGCACGAGCCTTTCCTTAGAAAGTCTTTGATAAAAAACATGGCTCATCTGTTAGGCAGTTCTTCGCTGGTGTTGTCAGGGGTCAGGGAGGAGCGGAGGGAGAGTCACTGTGTAGGGAGAGGGATGCCCCGGGGGTCGGTGACCTGACCCTCCTGCAGGTTCTTCACCAGCTGGGCCAGCCAGCGCTTGGTGGTGGTGTCGTCCTTCAGGACCTGGGAGAAGGTGGTGTCTTTGAGCTGGTCGGGGAGGCACTGACGGAGAGCTTCTCTGGCTCTGCACAAGCAAACAATGACATGATGTAGGCTGGAGCGGGAAACTAGGATGTGATCACAAGTGGTGAACACACACACATAAACCTGATCGGAATTGTTTTTTAGAGATAAAAATACCTGGAGTTGTCGGACAGGCGCAAGTAGCAGCGAACTACATGCTTCAGTAGGCGGGCTGACGGCTCCTTGGAGAGCTGGAGGACCATTTTGCCCTGAAATAGAGACAGAGAGTGTGGGCCAAGAAGAAAAACTGCACACAAATGACACATTTTAATAATGAAGACAGAATCTTACAAGAATCATAGCAACATGGGAGAAACGTTCGTATGTTTGACAGATGTAAGCCAGCCCGGTGTCGTCCAGGAGAATCTTCTGTAGTATGAAGGTTGCAACCTGAAAAATATACACACCACAAGCTGTCAATACATACGGTAACACTACACTATGAGGAGAGATAATGTGCAGTGTGTGATGATACTGTCAGGTCAGAGTACAGTTTTGGAGAGCTCGCTGCCGGACTCCATGATGCGAAGGCACAAGGGAATGATCTCTGTGGTCAGCAGGAAGTTGATCACTTCCTGCTCATCTGTTTTCACCAAAGCACCTGGACAGAGGTGACGCAGGGAACCAATGAGACGTAACGTTGTCAAGACCTGAACAGTACTGACAGTGTACTGACAGGAAAGATGTCTTACCTATGACTCCTAAGCTGGTGAGGCGGAGGTACTCGAACGGCCGTGTTTTGCTCACTGTATGTAAGAAAGGATAAAGGAAGAGTGGGATGTGCGCGGCCAGGAAAGCTGACCTGCGAAGGACAAAAACCATTGTCTTCATATTTGTTTTTGATGAACGGCCGCTTTCAGTACTTGACCTACTAGTCCTTGAAATCACACGTAAAGTCCTACCTTGTCTCTGGATGGGAGGCCACACACTGGAGGAGTGCAAGAGCGTTACACACTCTGTTGGACTGGTGTGCTGTCAGGGTGGGGGGGTTGATTGATGGATAGATGTTGACGATTTCCTGGCGATGACAGGGATGAAAATGCGGGTAAGGCAGCATGCACCAATCAGACAAAACATTAAAACCAGCGACAGGTGAATTGAGTAACTTTGATTCTGCTGGGGGGGCACTGCCAGAGTGAAACCAGTGCCCAGACTCACCTGCAGCAGGGCCGCTATGGTGCCACACGAGTGCCACAGCATGGGGGCCAGGTCAGGTACAGACTCCCTTTTCTTGCTGAGCTCCAGCAGGGCGTTCTCCCTGGTCTCTGGACTGGACAGCTCATTTATCCACTGGTAGATCTTCTCTCTGTCCACCTGTGCCAGTGCTGTGGTTACAGCCTGACAGCAACACCGGAAATGGGGATATGAGAATAAATACATTTAAATTCATGTTAATACCATGTTACTAACGCCAGTCTTACTCACTTGTACACAAACTGAATTTACCACTGAGTTTCCTCGTCCATCTCAGGTTAGCTAATGCTAGCTAACGTTAGCTGATAAATAAAGTTACTCACCGCTCCTGTAGCCAACATTGTTAGCAGCACCTGGGGTAAACCCGCTAATATAAGGCCTTTTAAACACCCCTTTACCAAATGTAAGCGTTTCACAGTGCTGGAAAACAGAGTTATTCTGCTGAAACGCAAACATCAGGCTACGGCGGCTTCCATGTTGAGCTAGCTAGTAGCTAGCAGCACTTCCGGTTGAGTATTTTCGAAGTAAAAGCACGACAATTAAAAAGAACCACGCATTTATTTATTTTTTCTTCTTCTTCTTCTCAACTTAGACAGTCTCACCATCGCTGTAAAGTTTTGTGGCACAGAATGATCCTTGCAAGTTGCACTATAACAGTTATTTTCAGTTTCATGAATATTAATAAATGCGTGCGGTTGCACCAGTGGGAGCAGTCCAGCAGATGGCGCCAAAGCTTCATCAGTAGCATATATGAGTTTCTCTACTGTACACCCATCAGCCAAAATATTCAAACCACTGACAGGTGAAGTGAACATTCATGTGGATACCACCTGACATGTTCCACCCACTCAAACACCTTTCCAGACCAAGTACCCCCCCTAATGGCAACAGTGCTCATCACTCAGGAATGGCCCAAGGAGCATGAGAAAGAACTCAAGGCCTTGACTTGGCCTCCAAATTCCCCAGATCCAAATCCAACTGAGCATCCTTGGGACATGCCGATACATCATCTTGCAACCCACAGAACTCAAAGGATCTGCTGTGAGGACCCTGGTGCCAGACACAACCCTAGACTTCCTGTGTCCATACCTTGACATGTCAGAGCTATGTCCAATCCATAGAGGACCCAACGTGCATGGGCGGTATGTCTGGGGTATCGGCACGTCCCATAGATACCCAGTCGAATTGGGATCTGGGGACTTTGGAGGCCAGATTGATGCCTTGAGCTTTTTGTCACGTTCCATGGGCCATTCCTGAGCGATAAAAATCAACATTGATAATTTAATGCTAAACTAATAATTATAGTTCTATGAATCCTAAATGATCCAACAGTATTTCACTACATTTTGTTACGCTGAACACATTTTTCCCAAACTGTAAATACATAGTTTTATATCCGATAAATGTAAAGGTAGCAGTGCATGAACACTTAATAGATATACCTTTAGAAAGCTCTTAAATTCACCGTAGTGTAATTCAGGCAAGTATAACCTACAGACTGAACATACAGCCATGCAGTCCCCATATATGCTTTACGCAATGTGCATGTACATGAAAATGAATACCACTGACACAGTTTGTGAGGGGAAATTTTATTACAGAATACAAAATACTGCTGGTATAGAAACGATTTTTAGTTGCCACTGTCCTCGTACAGATTTCTGTGTATGAATACAGTGCACACTGATATAGAATCCGAATCTTAGATTAAATGGATGTCAACTCAGCAAATTCAACCTTGGCTTCACATTCAGCAGCGATGGTTGTTGACAAAAAGTAGAAACTTGAGGTGTGTGGGAGTGTATGTGATATCTGAAGATTCCTTATGGCGTTCCTGGGATGAAAGAAAGAGATGGTAAAAGAAAAAACGTTACTGTTAAATTCATGATAATAATGTTATAACAATAAACATACGTAGTCTAAGCGAATGTTTTGCAGTAGGTGTTATTCCCCCGCCTCAGTCTGCAGGATTGTCGGCCCCTTGGTGCCCTCTTTTGGCTTTGTCAGGAAGTTGTTCCGTCTGCCAGCAGTGTGGCAGCTGCGCGTCTTTTGATCGTTCATTAACGTGCACACGGTCCAAGCTTACCTCTAACCTCCTCACTCTGCATCCTGGAGGAGGCAGGCCATCCTCCCTGAATCTCCTGGGTACCAGCGGCCCAGAGCTCTCTACCAAGATGCTACCCTGCACACAGTCACAGTTTCAGCTCTAGGACATCAGCCTTAGCTGTGGTTAATGGTTGTATGTATTAGAGAGGAAGAAGCAGTCACCTGAAGAAAGGGTTCTTGAGGTCCAGGACATTTCCGGACCTAAAGCCCGACTGGTCGACTGTGGCGGTGATGTGGATATCATAGCTCTGCCTGGAATGTGGAAAATGTTCATGAGTATTTAATACTCTTACAGGTTATAGACTGAAACCATCTTCCACGAGAGTGTTTGCCAGTTTCATGAATTAGTCTTAAAACCAAACAACCAAAACTACCATGACGATATGCAGGTGATGCTCACAGCGCACAGGCGTACCTGTTGTTAGCGGCCAGTAGGACCGTCCCTGACAGAGTTTGTCCCAGCTTGGCGAACAGCGGCGTCTGAAGCAAACATCTGACCTGATGCCAGCGGGTCACAGGCTCTGTGGGAGCTGTGGAGAGCCACACTGTTGACCTGCAGGGACAGACATTCTCACACTGACTTCAACTGAGTATTTTATGTCAAGGGATTAAAGTCAAACAAGAAATGTGCCAGCTAATATGATATAAATGTCTTAACATGAGTTTCAGTTGCTCAAATGCAAAGTCTTTGGATGGAAAAGCTCTCTGTCATTTGTTCAAAAAATTCCATGTATCAAAAAGCAGTTGCTTTCTTCAAACCATGAATCAGTCAAAGCAATACAATATGTCAGACTGGAACACTTGTGTATTCTTTACTTGGATCCCAAATAGGCCACATCAAACCAGAAGGCAAGTCCATGGCACAGACCAGACTGCAGCAGTGTAAACTCAAAGGGAATCTCCATTCTGTAAAACAAACAAAAAAAAAAAAACACACAAACCCAAGTTTGATTCCTAGTCTCTTACTTAGCATGTAAGAATTAAAACCATTGGTTGTATCAGTATGATTATCTCCCCCAAGGGCGTTTGTTTGTCAGCAGGATTATGGAAAAAACTACTGGCTCAGTTTTCATGAAACTTGGTGGACAGGTGTAGCATGGAACAATTCAAATTTTTGAGTATATCCGAATCACAGAGTGGATACACAAATTATTTTTCACTTTGGATAACATTGTGAGATAGGACATTTGGCCTTGGCGAAGGACCATGCTCTCTAGGTGCTCTTCAGTTCTTCTCTGGTTTTGATTATGAGTTTAACCTGTTAAGGGTCTAACCCCAAGATGGGTCTTACCTGTTGATGGGTCTAACTAGTGATGTCGAAATGAAGCTTCATGAACCACCACTTGAAAAAAGCTCAAGGGACGGCAATGCAGTTTGGTTTCAACTAGCAATGGCCAAATGAAGCTTCATGAACCATTTCCTTTATTTTTTGGGTCCACTCTGGCACTCTTTGTTCAACAAAGGGTTGAAACCAAACTGCATTGCCATCCCTTGAGCCTTTTTCATTACACCAAGAGCGCCATCTAGTGGGTTCAGCAAATACAACTGGTGGTTCATGAAGCTTCATTTGGACATCACTACGTCTCACCTTTTAAGGGTCTAACCTCATGATGGGTCTAATCTGTTGAGGGTCTAACTTCACGATGGGTCTAACCCAGGGGTCTCAAACTCACGGCCCGGGGGCCAGACACGGCCCTCCAGACCATTCTATACGGCCCGCTATTTGATTTCAATTCATAGTGAAATCCGGCCCGGCCGTGAACGCAGCGGACCTTGAATGCAGCCTTGTCACGACTGAGGAAAAATGCCCGATTCTGTTTTTGACCCTTCAGCGCATCATCCTAGGACCCTTGAACGCATCACCACACCTGAAACCAAGTAGAAAAAAAACAAACATTTGGCACGCTGCTAACACTATGGCCAAAAGAAAGGTTGACGCTGAGTACAAAGTGTTTCAGGAGAAGTGGGAGACTGATTATTTCTTCGTCGAGTTTAAGGGGAATGCCACCTGTCTCATCTGCAATGAGAAAATTGCCGTGTTTAAGGAGTACAATCTAAAGCGGCATTATTCAACTAAACATGCAGAGCAGTATGCTAAGTACCAGGGAGATGAACGGACACAATGAGCTGCACAGCTAAAGAAAGGACTGTCAACGCAACAAAACTTCTTCCAGAGAGCAAGAAAGGAGTCCGATGCAGCACTTGAAGCAAGTTATGTTGTCAGTGAGATGATCGCCAATCGAAATTCAATTTTTTTCAATCATTTTTTGTGGAATACTTGAAGTGGCCCCCTTGAGACAAGACTGGATGCTCAGCGGCCCTCAGGTAATTTGAGTTTGAGACCCCTGGTCTAACCTGATAAGGGTCTAACCTGCTAAGGAACTGACCTCATGATGGGTCTATCCTGTTAAGCGTCTAAACTCATGACGGGTCTATCCTGTTAAGGGTCTAACTTGTTGAGGGTCTAACCTTATGATGGGTCTAACTTGTTAAGGGTCTAACCTTATGATGGATCTAACCTGCGAGGGGTCTGACCTCATAATGGGACTAACCTGTTAAGGGACTAACCTGTTAAGGGTCTAACTTGTTGAGGGTCTAACCTTATGATGGGTCTATCCTGTTAAGGGTCTAACCTCATGATGGGTCTAACCTGTTGATGGGTCTAACCTCATGATGGGTCTAACCTGTTAAGGGTCTAACCTCATGATGGGTCTAACCTGTTGATGGGTCTAACCTCATGATGGGTCTAACCTGTTAAGGGTCTAACCTCATGATGGGTCTAACCTGTTGATGGGTCTAACCTCATGATGGGTCTAACCTGTTAAGGGTCTAACCTCATGATGGGTCTAACCTGTTGATGGGTCTAACCTCATGATGGGTCTAACCTGTTAAGGGTCTAACCTCATGATGGGTCTAACCTGTTAAGGGTCTATCCTGTTGAGGGTCTAACCTGTGTAAGTCTTCTTCTTTAGCCTCCATGAAGTTGATGCAGTGCTTGACAGACCTGGCCATCAGGATCTGCACATCAAATGTGTCCTGAAAGACACAATAAACGAGGAGTCTGTTAAAAATTTACATAAATATAGAATCCATATTACATATAGTACTTTTGTTTGAATTCTAGCCACACATTTTGACTCCAGGGCATTTGAAGTCACAGGTTTAGAAATGTTATACTTCCACTATAATACAAAATAATATAGTTAGAACACTGCTGGTGCTGTAACATGCATTTGTCAAAACACGCTGATGTTATATGGGGGCTACTGTTGACACACACGTACCACGATAGGCTGCTTGAAGAACTCATCCACTGCGGCTGTGTAAAGAGCACTCAGGTTAACTCCAAAGAAGCTTTTCTGCTGCCTGAAGAAAGCAGAATTAACAGTGAGGTAACTCCCACAGCCAACTGATTGATATAGATTGATTTCTTTATTCCATACATTTAAACACGATGACCTCTGACTCTTGCCGAGTCTCCTCTTGTGCTCAACTAAATTGTAGGATATTGGATTAAAAGGCACAAAAGCTCAGAACATCAGCGTTAAAGCTGGAAGTAGTGTAAAGGACGAAGTTAAGTTTTTTCCTCAGTGTTTCTGCAAAAATAGTTCTGGTGAACAACATCAGTTTATAGTTTACCTTCATTCCTCAAGGCTGACTGAGCCTGACTTTTGCATAGTGGTGAAGCAGTGAAGGGCACAGACCATGGCAATGTGTACACACACACACTGGTTGTGCAAAACACTTGTGCACAGACAAGCCACACAACAAAGGATGTAGTGTTTGCACGCATTTTCCAGAAATACATGAATATAGCAGAAACACGTTTTCATTTGTGGACGAAAAACTACTGCAGTGAATCAAAAACGCCTTCTTCCCTTTACGTCTCTGTATCGTTTCTATGGGTTACATGTCTCTTACATTTGATATGTTCGTTGCATCACTATAGCCAGGTGCAGCAGCTGAGGCTGAATGAAGGAGCCACAGCTGGTGCGGGAGGTAGAGTGGTACCAACTCGGCTCACCTCTGTGTATAGACCTGGTTCTGGAACCAAACTCCTTGACAGGGTCTGGACTCTCACCTTTTCTAGAGATGCCCAGGGTGTGAGAGGCGCCAGGCGGGTGTACCCCCGAGCTCAGCCTGCTGCCAGCCCCGGATAAGTGGATGAAAATGGATGGATGAATGGAACATTACTCTTCAGCCAGATGGAAATATAGTATGTACTTTCCTACCTTAACGATACTTGACTAATATTTGTCCTGGGTTACAATGCTTCTGGAAAAAGACTGAATTTCCTGTGAGGAAATCTTAAATCTATTAACTTTTAGTATAAAATATCAGCTTTATCCCTAACTTACAAAAGCCCATATCAGTCAAAGCCTTGGCTGGCCTGTGTGAGTCACGACTGGACTTAACCCGAGCGTTTTACACCCACAGGAAACATGCCTGACTGGGGTCACATGTGTGTCTGTGTGAGAAAGACAGAGACAGAGGGGAAGAAAGGCGCCCAGTGTGTTTGCTTCCTCATGCATGGATTTATGCCTGTGTGTGTGTGTATGTGTGTGAGAAAGAGAGAGAGAGAGCGAGAGAGACCAGAAAGTGGCCCGTGTGTAGTGTTCGAAGTAGAGCTGTTCGTCACTGAAGGGAGCCAGATGAATATCACCATAGGAGGGAAACATCAGACCTGGAAAGAGAGAGAGAAAAAGTATGACAGAAAACACAAGAGTCAAACACACAGTCAGACATTTAGGCTGGAGTTACCCTGAAAATTAGCTGTCAAGACAGAAAGTCCCACGTCAAAACCCTGGTTAATACCAACTTGTCCCACGTTGAGATACAGTGGGTAAGTCCTGGGGCAAGTCTTAGTTCGTCACTTGTGTTTCAAGACCTAAACAAGTCATGATCTGTGTGCTGCTTCGCACTCATGCACCTTTCCCAAAGTTACATGTATACCTCGAACAACTGTCATGATTTGCATATCTTAATCATTCCTTGGGTCATTCATTACGTCCCTGACGTCCCTCTACTCCTACCATTGGGTTTGAGCCATTTTCGGGCATGCAAGAAGCTCTCCATGAGCCTTTCACTGAGCAGCATGTATCCCATCGGTTCAGAGACGATGACATCAACCATGTCAGGACAGCTGACCTCCTCCACCTCCCCTTCCAGGACCCTGATCTGCTCAGACAGACAGTTACTCTGGACCAGGATCTGCACAGGAGACAGAGACACGTAGCATTCGATAAGAACACCTTAAAACTGTAGGACCACATTATCACAAAACAATCTCTTCAGTCTTTATGGTGTGTTGAGCAATCTGGCGCCGGTACTTGTGATTACCTGCTGTGGAGCAGGTACATTGAAACCAAAGCTAATGTTCAGTATTTAATCCCCATATATCGGTCTATACCCAGAACTGTGTGCATCAGCATCTCTGTACGGCCCCTTGCCTTCTGAACTCAGGGCCAGATGTTGCCGCAACCCATTAACTCCCCAGAATGCCATGCTCTGCATGTGATGTATGTACTTGATGTGTGTCTAGTGTTTTGCTACAGTGTCTTTTTCGGCTCTATCCAAGCCAACACACACAAAACATTACTCTCCAACTCTGCGTTTGAGTTGGGAGATCCAAATCTCTCTTGTAGGTTAGCAACAGAGACTCGAACAGTGGTGAGCAGTTTTAAAACCTCCCTAAGCTGACATTATAGTGATGAAGATGGGAGGACGGAGGGTTTAAATCTGCTGACCTGTGTAAACTTGGCCATGGGGCTGGACTCAACAGCATACACTCTGGTGGCTCCAGCTTGGACAGCGAAGAAAGACAGAATACCAGAACCACAACACACATCCAGGACCACCTACAGAGACAAGAAGAGCAGAACGGGCAGGCAGCTGTGAGTTTCACATGAAAATCACAAACCTTTAAAATACACACGTACATATACACTCATGGATTCTGTCTACGGTCACCTTGTCTCTGAAGTCGGTCTCATTGAGTAGAATGGCTCTGTGATAGGTACCGGTCCTCAGGTAGTCCTGAAGCAGGCTCTGCTGCTGGGACACACAGTTGTGGAACTACACACACAAACACACACACAACACTGATCAATCTGAAGTCGTTTTCAGGTCTATCTATTTACCCCTGCATGGTGGGTGGCCTACCTCGTAGCCCTGTGTTGTCCATTTTTCAAACACAGTCGGATGTCTCCTCGAATGTTTCTCCGCATCCTTGTTTCCTCTCTCATGTCCTTCTGGGCAACCTTTCCTTGTCTCTCCATCGCCCCCCGTCTTTAATACCTGCTGGAAGCTCTTCATGTCTGGAGGGTCAGTGAGGAGAGGATGCTTTACATGACAGACCAACCACAAGGATTATACACAGTATGAACTCAAGCATAAACTGTACAAACCAGTTGGAGTTTTGAACTGCAACAGAAGACTCAGCTCTCCGACTGTGACCAGGAAGGACTGTCCTCCGACCTGGCAGCAGTCCATCTCCTTGGACACGGTGAAGTGGAAGACTGATGCTCTGTTGGCTGGAAACAGTTTGGTTGAAACCACACAGAAACGGACGCTTGACGTTTGAGACAAAATTTTGACTTGTAACAGAGTGTTCGAACATTTTATCTACTTTGCACGTTTTCCGCTACTACACCGCCTGTCCCTGCTGTTCTCTACATGAGCAAGCATAGCATGTGTGTGTGTGTGTGTGTGTGTGTGCACCTGCTCACCATCACGCACAGTGAGCTGCTGAGCCTCCAGGCCTGTGGTGAGCAGCAGAGTGAGCTCCTGATCTGCTCTCTGTCTGCACACACTGACCTGCTGCTCCCTGCTCGCCTCCTTCAGAACACAACACACTGGGTTTTATCACTGGACACATCAAACCAAACCATGCAAGACCAGGACTGGTGACATGATGAAGATTTAAATGATTCAAACAGGCGACTGATTCAGTTTCATGGCAAGAAGAGGAATTAACTAGATAAAACTGGAATCATCTTCTTTCATGACGAGTTTGTTACCTGGCGGACCAACCATTGATTTACTATAAATGCATCCCATAAAGACATGACCAAGCCAAGAGGAGCAGTGCGCCCCCTGCAGCTTCAACGCCTACCTCCTCATGTGTGTCCATGTGATCCTCCTCGGAGCTCACCTCCTCCTCCTGCAGAGTGAAGACCCGGACAGCGAAAGCCAACGACTCCTCGCTCTTCTCCCCCATTCTTCAGTGTGAAAGAAAGCTGCTCCTGGAAAGGCAAGGAGAGGCCAGAAGGGGAGGAGGTGGAGGAAAAGGGGAGGAGAGACGGGAGGGGGGAAAGAGAGAGAAAAGTGGTAAAAAAGAAAAGAGAAATCTGCAGCATTTCTGGGGGAAAAAAACTGAAATGTATCTTTAAATCTTATTGGATCCAACATGTTAGCAGCTGTTAGCGTTTTACATTTGTACAGTTGGTTTGATGGATGGTCTCATCTTGTCTTTTTGGAGCTCATTCAAGTGATGTATCTCATACATGTGTGCTCGGAAAGGGAGCTCTGCACGGGTTGGGGGCTGAGCAAACAGCATGAGCTTTTTGTCATGTTCAGCAGGTCATTCCTGAGCAGTTTTTGTGATGTCCTCTGAAACTGCATTTAAGATGAAGTAGGCTACTCACTTTTTAACTTGCTCCTGAAACTTGACGACACTTAGTGCATCAACATTAGGTGTGCGCAGTCATGCAGTGGGCCGGATTGAACCCTTTGGCGGGCTGGTTCTGGGCTGTATGTTTGACGTCCCTGACTCGAGGTTTAAATAACTTTCCAAGACCGAACTAACGTATACTAGGTACTGTATAAGTGCCTCGAAACAGGCTATTGTTGTAGCAGTTGTGGTGGCATTGCTGTTGTAAGTGAGACTGACTGAGCGGAACGACAGAACTGCACCTTGACGCCTTGGAGAGACCGAGGGGGGAGTCGCACAGAACTTTTTTTGGATATAAACTGTGATGGCTGGGAGCTGATGTGAGATTTAGCCGACAACGTAAAGCACTGGCCGCAGAGTCGGTCATGTCTCTGCAGCCTTGTGTTGCAGCGAAACTGTCTTTCCACGATAACCCCAAGGGAACATTTCCCGTGGGGGTCCAGCAAATGTTCCCCTACCCCCCAGGCAACACTCATGGAACATTCCTCGAACCAAAAATTGCTCACTAGTATTCTTAAAATTAGTGTATTTAAATATTTCTGTATACTGGGGTTCCTAAACAGCCATGGAGTTGCATGAATTGCACTGGAAAAGTGAGAGTTGACAGCTATATACTCTTCACAAGAGGCAGGGGTGCACCACGGACAGGTCGCCAGTAAAGCACTGGGCATGGTGGAGGGTCAGACAAAATGACAACAGCACTCCATCTGCTGGACGTATCGCATTACTGCAACAGCACAGATGAAATATCAAGTCACATTGAATTAGAGAAGGAAATGGAACTAACTTCACATCTGTATATACTAAAGACTCGTCTGCAAAGAAAAGTCATTTTGTGAACACATTTTGGGGCGTGTGACAAGAAAGTCTGAAAAGTGAGGGAGGTGTGGAGCCCCGCAGTACTGTGGCCTTTATTCAGCTCAGCTATCTCAAGTATATACCGTGCTGTGGAGCTGGATACTGTAACACTCTATTAATATCCAAGCGCTGCATAGCGTCCTTGCTACATATAGAGATTCTTCCAAGGCTGTCTATTTGCCACCTTACATTTTAGAAAAGGCATTGTAACTATATTAATGAGCCGCTAAGTTAAAGGGAGTCATCACAGTGACACGTATTGGGGCGTGAATTGCACAGTATGTACAGGACAAAACGCAGTCTCGGTAAAATACGCTGAAATGAGATAGAGGCACCATGTTCCTCTGAGAAGCAGACTTGTGCTGTAAGTAAAACTCAGCTCATACACCGACAGTGGCCGCACTCACACAGAGGTCACTGAGGCATGTTACAGCGCTGTGGTTTACATGGCTTATATGACTGGCTTATACAGCAGATTGGCATACAGTCATTTCTAGATTCAGTTTCGTAAACTGTACGCACCTGTCGCTCATTCCAACCGGAGAGGCATCAGCTCCTGTCTTCTGTGGACCCTACGGACACACAGTCACATGTCATGAAGCAAACAGGGACCAATTACGCACCAATAAAATTCTTTTAGAATTCTAATCAAGTCTGTTTAAGGGCGGACGAATGAATAAAACCTCACAGAAACAGCAGTGGGCCTTCTGGAGAGGTGAACCATGGCCCTGGTGTCCGGTCTTGGACTTGGTCATCCACCTGGCAAGTGCTAGAAATTCTCACACAACAGCCATTTGAGACTTTGACGACCTTAGCTGAAGAGCCAAGTCTTTATTTGATACATTATAGAGACAGGCTGTCTAGTCAACACACAAGTCTCCATGTTTTCTGGTCTGCGTTGTACAAAACACAAGTTTTACGGTCACACATTGACAAAAAGTGTTGAGTTCATGCTGAGAAAAATGGACTGTGTGTAGAGACATACTGTAACACCATCACGGACAAACAAAGGACACACCAAGCCGTTTCAAGTCCTGAATGCAGTCCACAAAGCCGTGTCTGGCATGATGCAGTTGAGCGCTGGGGTGTTCTTCTGGACGTCTTCAACGACATGACAAACATTTTCACACTAACACTCGTTGGGTTTGCCCACAGGTACTCCTTCCTTAGACCGCACGTCATTTACACAACTCGAGCCGAAGCTCTTCCTTGATCACCCAGCGCCGACGTCCTGCACGTAGCTCAGCTGAATGGTCCGAGTTGGACTCCATCTCTCCTGCTGCGCATGTCAAATTTTCTGTTGAGCTTTCAGAATGCACAGCACTGCCACTGTGACCAGCAAGACTCCGGTGATGAGTCCGATCCGAACCCATGGGAGAGACTTAGACGATGCCTCTGGGGGATGGATGGAAAGCACACAGCATAATCTTAACAACAGAGTCACTATGGTAACGACATCCAACATCTGAGTCACACTCTGACATGAACCTTGTCATCTTGTTGTGCGATTCCCCTACCCTTACCCTACACAGCTGCTCACCTTCATCTGGGAACGATGTCATCGTCTCCTCGAAGGCTTCCATCGATGGCGCCTTTGTCACCACTATCAAAACATCATAAAATGAGCACGGACAGACATGAGGGCACAGGCATGATGATTTTGTACGGTGTCTTTTCTATCCCATTCATTTCTCTTCGAGCGAGGTTCACCTTTCATCAGCTGTGTGGATTCCTCCAGGAGAACAGGTGTAAGATCATTGACACCTGTCACCTCCTCCGTTGTAACTATCGTAGGCCAGTCTGATGCACTGAGCCAGTCGTCTGTCGTCTCGTCATGGTTAAAAACTGCATGAAAAAGAGGTGTTTGACACTGTACTGTCCTGTGGACCATTATGACATCCTCAGAACCGATAAGTCTACTGATGAACATAGATGTTGCTGCACTTAGACGAACAAAATGAAGATTACCAATATCAGTAGGGTCCGTTTCCAGCACAGTCAAAGTGATACTCTCTGGTGTCCCAGACCTGGGCTCATCAGTTTCCCTAAAACGCATCATTAAGGATGGTTAGTCGTAGAAGTAGAAGAAGTAGTACAAAGCTATGAGTATATTTTGTTTGATGTTTTGGGCACTGCTCTACTCCGAAGTCAAATAAACTGCTCTCTTTGTCGTCTGAAATATTGTGCCACTGGCCTTCCTTGGGAGTGGGAAGAGTGGGGAGTCAGAGAATGCTACGCCAAAGGTATGACGTTGATTTGACGCAAGAGTACAAATCCCGTTTAACTCTACAGGGGAACTCTGTCAATGGAGTCTGGTGGCTTCCACAGAACTTACCTGGTTTTATACAAACAGTGGTACTCTCCACTGTCACTTATCTTTGTCGGGCTCATGTACAGATGAAATGCTTCTTTACCATCAAACCCTAGACTGATTCGGGACACGTCCTCGGGGCTAGACACCACCACAGTCGAGTACAAATCCTGTAAGTGGAAAGAGATGATTGGATGTCAAAAGAAAATACGTTGACGACAGAATACAAAGCAACAATAGTGTACTGTGCTGACAAAGAAGGCATCTAGCAAGGGAACCTTCAGTGCGCCAAAACAGATGTATGAAAATATGCTTGCATCTGGCACAGTACCTCTTTTTCTATTGACAGTATGGTGCTGCCGTTCCTGGTCCACCAGATGAGCATATCGCTGACGGACTGGCTTCTGGAGATCTGAACATAGCAGGCAAGATCAACCGAGTCACCAGCAGGCACCACTATCGAGCGCTTAACATGGGGCACTTGAGAGAGAGAAAGAGAAAGAGGACGGCAGATATGAAGACGATTTTGCGATCAGGATAATCACAAAATGAATCCTATACTTAGCGACGGAACAAGAAATTAAGGATGAAGGATGGAATTGATCAGCCCTGACAACTAGATGTTTCCAGGTGTGCACCTCCCCACAAACTCACCCGTGACAGTGAGCCATACTGTTGCTACGGTTTTCCTTCCTTGCCAAATGCACTCGTACATGTCAGTGTCACTGAGCATTGTGTCCCGGAGGACCACAGACCAGTCTCCCTCCCTGAGCTTGTCCTCCGAGAGCGGCTCAACGCGGTCCTGGAAGATGCACAGGACAGGAAATCACAAGTCTCTGTCTTCTGTCTTTAAATGTACATTTCATGCATTGCTATATATTATTAGTTGCATCAACATGCTAACCTGAAATTTGTCCCCCTGATGTAGCTCCCCGCTCCACAGGATAGCCACATCCTCCCCCATTGCCTCCCACTGGACACTCCCTTCCTCCTCCAGGTAGGCTGAGCCATCACAAGGCAAGATGGCCGACTCCCCGTACTCCACCTGAAGATTTAGTGACTGCACCATCTGCAGGGCTGGACAAAGAGAAGTGGAGCATGAAAGAATAGAATAAATGATGCAGAGAGACGGAGTGGTCAACGAAAGCGACACACTCACCGTGGCAGAGCCGTCCGCACTGAAGACACAGCAGCATCAGCAACACACACGGAGGGAACATCTTGGCACTTCTTCCTCCTGCACAGCTCAAACAGAGAGACCTCATTCGTGGATGGTTTACTGAACAGGCCATTCAGGCACAGGCCCAGGGGCCCACAGTGGCAGGAGATCAAAAACACCACATAGGGATGCAAAGGAACTGCAAAGACACACACAATAACTCCAAAGAGACACAAAACAACCAGAAGGAGACACATGCTGACTAGAAAAAAGACACAAAATGACCTCAAAGAGACACAAACCCACAAAAAGACGCCTAAGGGCCACAAAGAAAGTCTGTGTCCCACTCCTGTGTAGGAGAGGTGGTGGGTCGCCTTTGCAGATCTGTGCCCAGGGGCCCACTGTCTCATCATCTGCCCATGCTGCTATATGCACATTTGTATTCTCTATTATAAATGGTGATGATAGAAACCACATTTTTATTCAAAGCAAGAACTGTTGCTGTCCAAACATTCGTGGAAACATGGAAACATTTGTAATAATAACAATAATTGTGCTCACCTCAGCTTGCAGCGTTTTAAAAACGGATATAAGCTCCTCCGGTTGAGTTCAGCATGGGGAAAATACTCACAGAGCTGCTCAGATACATGGGGTGTCCTCCTGTCTCGTCACCTCTCCCATTACAGCCCTGTAAATCTCAACTGCACCGGATGCCGCCTTCAGGTGCTGTGGGAAATGTCAGTATCACATCGCAAGTACTCTCAAAAATGATATCATGTAATTAACAGATTATTCTTGCATTTTACTTGAGTATTTTCATTTTCTGCTGCTTCATACTACATTTATCTGATATCTTATCTAGACTGAGATTAATAATCCAAAAATCAAGTCTAATGGCACCCATGCAACCCCGAAGTTATAAATCAGATCTTGATGAACAAATTATTCAAGTTGGAAATCTTTACTGATGTACATTTTATTGGCAGTTGGCAGATGGTGTCCTGGGGGATCTCCTCCCAGACCTGGATCACAGTATCAGGGAGCTCCTGGACCGTCTGTGGTGGTACTTGGAAGCGTCGGATGCACCAATACTTAACGTCTCATAGGTGCTCAATTGGATTTAGGTCAGAGGAACAAGAGGGCCGGTCAATGACATCAATGCCTTCATCATCCAGGAACTGCTGACACACTCTGGACACAGGAGGCTGGGCATTGTCCTGCACCAGGAGGAACCCAGGGCCCACTGCACCAGGAGGAACCCAGGGCCCACTGCAACAGGAGGAACCCAGGGCCCACTGCACCAGGAGGAACCCAGGGCCCACTGCAACAGGAGGAACCCAGGGCCCTCTGCACCAGCGTCAGGTCAGACAGTCGCTCTGAGGATTTCATCCTGGTACCTAACAGCAGTCAGGGTACCGTTGGCTCTGACATGGAGGTCTGTGTGACCCTCCAAGGATCTGCCTCCCCAGACCATCACTGACCCACCGCCAAACCGGTCATGCTGGATGCTGTCACCATGGCGTCTCCAGACTCTTTCATGCCTGTCACGTGCTCAGTGTGACCCTGCTCTCATCTGTGAAGAGAATAGAAGAAAGAGGCGCCAATGGCAGACCTGCCAGTTCTATTGGCAAATGCCAATCAAGCTGCACGGTGCTGGGATGTGAGCACAGGTCCTACCAGAGGACGTGGGGCCCTCATGCCACCCTCATGGAGTCTGACAGTGTGGTCAGAAACATGCACACCGGTAGCCTGCTGGAGATCGTTTTGTAGGGCTCTGGCAGTGCTCCTCCTGTTCCTCCTCACACAAAGGAGCAGATACCGGTCCTGATGCTGGAAGACACAGCAAACCTTCACATATGGGTGTGACATCCTGGAGGAGCTGGACTACCTGTACAACCTGATTGGGCTGCAGGTACTGCCTCATGCTGCTAGTAGTGACAAGGACACTAGCAGAACACAAAACTAGAGACTTTCACTTTTACTTCCCAGGTTGGTTAAAGAGCCAGGTGCCTGAGCGCCCCAGAGTCAGTCTCACATGCAGCCAAACTCCATGGGACCTCCACATTGTGCTTAGCTGGCAGCATGCATGTGGGAATCAGACACCAGGAGGCACGTGGCACGAGTCTCACTTATCCACAGTGGGGAATTCAAAGTGCAGGAAGCATTTGGAGTGCAGTTTGGGTACAATGTGGTTTACAGCGTGGCATTATGACCTGTATTTATTTTAATACAGCACGCCAAAAGAAACACAAATGAGTGTGACGGCCTCCTGAGATCCAGCACAGCAGTGAGAGGTATGTGTCATATAGGTGGAGCAGATCGGTTTCCAGAAACATTAGACAGTACCACATGTGCATCCACAGGGACACCCTCTCACTCACCCGTGATGCTTTCAGGCACCATGGGAGAAACATACAACACCTTAACAGTTCAACAAAGTAGATTGCAGTAAAGATGGTGAACCTGTGTGTGAAGCTGCGCCGGCGCCCTCTGCTGTTTTGAGAGAGAAGTGAGAGAGCTTGCCTGAGAGTACCTGGTGTTCTATGAACTGAACAAACCTCAAAGAGACGTGCAGATTTGAACGGTCAATTCTTTATTTCATGGCAAATCAATCATGTTCAGGACTTGTTTTCAAGATAAACGAGCTTCAGACGGCAGTAGTAAAAAAAGGATCTGAAGTGACAGAGCCTTATGCAACCTCCAGACGAGCTGGCCGACTTGCTGGCAGTGCGTCGTGCGCTTCACAGTGCTACATTCTCTCATCGCCCTGAAAGAATATCCTTCACGAGAAAACACAAACATTGCTTCTTCACAACTACAATACAAGCCAGGAGCAACTGATAACTAGAAATAACATGATCAATGACCTTTATCCAACTAGTTAAAAGCAGCATTACTACATGACACAGAACAGATGTGGTAATAAGTGGAACAGAAGATGCTCTATCTACATAAACAGGGTTACATGTGCATTATCCAGTGATGTCCAAACGAAGCTTCACGAACCACCAGTTGTATTTGCTGAACCCACTAGATGGCACTCTTTGTGTAATGAAAAAGGCTCAAGGGATGGCAATGCAGTTTGGTTTCAACCCTTTGTTGAACAAAGAGTGCCAGAGTGGACCCAAAAAATAAAGACAATGGCTCATGAAGCTTCATTTGGCCATCACTAGTATTATCTCACCCACTATAAGGTTGCTGCCAATAGCTCAAACATTACAGCTTCTTCAAGCCGAGACACTGACAACAGCAAAAGAAAATGTTCCTATACATGAGTGTGTGAACAGGCTCAACTCAAAGTTAATAGACTTGGCCCTGTTTTGTTTTATCCTTTTCTTTTCACTGACAATACACCATGGTCGATGAAGTTGGAAGCCTCAGATTAACAAAGGCTGGATGTGCGTGCGTGTTTTGCATTCAAGAATAAAGCCATTGTAATTTAGCACACAGAGAGACGCTAAAATAATCCCCAAACAACACTTGGACAAGTCATCAGAGGGACAACACTGCGGCTCACACTCCTCGTGTGGGGCCTGACTGGAAACGTGAGAAAGGCGAGCTTTGACTTGACAAATCCACCACGAAACTGCACATGAAGCTGTGACATCAAACATGGCCTCATACGTCAGAGAGCACATGTTGACCCCTACAGCTGACTGACATACACATGTAGCACCCAAGCAAAAAATCAACAGTCATTAAGTTGTTTAAAAGAAATCAAGTTCCCCTCGTGTCTGTCGACTGAGCTCCACCAGGACAGTGATGCTGCATTCATGTCATGTGGGAATAACCAACATTCACTTTAATGCTCTTGTACAGACTTTATTTGCACCTGACCAGCTTCATCTCACAAACACAAACTCAGTTATGGTACATTTTAGGGCTTTTTTTGTTGCAAAATATCAAACAAACCAAGGTCATTTTACACTATGATCAAAACATGAGTAAATTATTTTCTATATTTCACAACTAATGTTTTCTTCAGTTCCGTCTCCAAACCTCAGATTCATAAGCAGTACATATCATCTGATGGCTAAACTGAACAGTGTTCCCCATTAGGACATTCTTTTCTCCCGTCTTTCCCATGGGACATGAATGCAGCATTCGACACTAGGTTTTCTCTCCGATACGGGACACAGCAGCACCCGCGGGCGGCTTCCCAAAGTCCTCAAACCTTCTTTAAAGCTCTGAGAGCGTGTTGAGCTCAATCACTTCAGGATGAAATGTTACGATCTTCACACTGGCGTGTCGCTCATTGCTCCACTCTGGGCGCGAAGTCGGGGCGTCGCGTCTGGATGATCTTCGGTCGCAGCGGGCGAGGCTTCTCGTCTTGGTCGCTGTCGTCGGGGGCCGAGCTGTCACCCTGCTCGTCCTCGCAGACGTGGACGACCACGCTGGGGGTGGTGGGCGTGGCGGTGTGGAGCTCGTACTTGTCTCCTGGGGAATCACACAGAAGAACGATCAGATGAGGGTCAGTGTGATGAAAGTCACAGAGGTTAAGTCTAGGAAGTCTGAGCTCAGTTAGGAGCGACCAGCAGACTGCAGAGAGCGCACACTTTAAGAACGTACTGTTTCTTTGTCATGCATTAGCTACGCTCAGCAAGTTTCAATGATGAGGCGACACACTGTACCTGGTCCGAGCTTTGAGATGGCACACAGCAGGTCGTAGTTGATGACTGGCGTGGCGTCCTGGGACTGTTCCCAGCCGACTGGAGGGGAGGCAGGCGGCGAGATCAGGAACTGTTTGTCCGGTTTGGGCGGCTCCAGCCGAGGACTGCCTATGTGGACAGACTGTGCACACAAGGGCACGTGTGAGTGAGCAGTTCAAAACACACTGAAGAAATTTGAACAAGATGAACGAGACGCTACCTGAGCGAAGTAAAGTCTCATTTCTTTGCCGTTGAAGTCCGTCTTGTGAAGCCGGAGTCTCGCCTCCGCTGCGGCCAGAGCATCGCTGAAACTGATCCTCACCCGCCGGAAAGACTTGAAGTACTGGAACTGCACCTCCGGGTCGAATGACCGGAACAGAGCCTCGAAACTGGCCTGAAAACACACAGGGACAGAGGTGAGAACAGGGGGGGAGGAGACTGAGCTTCATCACTCCGCTCTTCTGTCCCTTCTTATCTAAAAATATTAAACGCTGTGAGCCAGAGGCAGCCATGAATACAGTTATGAGATCTCAAGTCGCTATGAATAAAAGTGATAAAAATAGCCTCTATTAGCATACACTATATCTGTCCTCTTGATTCGAGAGCCTGCAGACTGTGTGTGTCTGAGTGTCAGCTATGGCCTCAACTTTACTTGACCAACTGTTGTTACAGAGGCAAACCAAGAGAGAACAACGAACCTGACACACACTGTAAAGACATATTGGATCAAACTCTGTATTGGCAAGTGAACAATACTGTGTTTTACCCAGTGGACTGCAATGCAGCACAAGAGCAATCACTGGCTGTGGACTTGTGCAGTGAGTCATGATGAAGTCAAAGGAATATGGAGTACTCAGCTTTGCCTGAGGAGGTCTTCCAGTCGCATATTATCACCCACAACACTCAAGACACGTCAACCTGACCCCACATGCTGATAAACATTTCCCTTCCCGGAATCCTCTAGAGGGTTCTCTGCGGAGTCTCCAGGAAAATCAACAATACTCGGACATTAAAGAACATGTCTCTGTAAACTGTAAACCAAATTACCTGCCTATTGTGTGGAGTGTTCTGATTCGGTACATGTGTACACGTTCTTTAAACGCAGCTTAAAGACAAAAGAGCAAAAGGACAGACGGGCTTTACCGAGCTGATGTGAACGCAACACAAGGACTACTTTGGACACGAGTATGTACTCTTGTCCTGTTGTGCCAAGTTCTCTACACTGAAATGATAACTCCCAATGGCCCAACTTTGACCAATGGCCGACCGTCAGCTTGGTGTGTCAGGGCCTGTCAAGGAAAAGCCAGGGTGCTGCTGCCATACACTTGTCCATGGCATGAAGCGCTACTTGGCCATTGCTAGTTGAAACCAAACTCCATTGCCATCCCTTGAGCCTTTTTCATTACACCAAGAGCGCCATCTAGTGGGTTCAGCAAATACAACTTGAAGCTCATGAAGCTTCATTTGGCCATCACTACTGTAACTGTAAATGTTATGAAAACCCTCTAGTATGGGTTTGGTTCCTAAAAACGTCGTATTCTACATTTTCCATAACACAACCCCTACACATCTTTTCCCTTCCAACATCTTTTG